GGCAGGCATTCTCTTCGTCGTTTTGTATTGTCTTTTAATGATTCCTAAACACGTATGTTCTAAATAGAAGATCTACCCAACAAGTGCTCTTCACTGCCAATGTAAGATTTGCTCAAGAGACGTATACATGACCAAATGGAAATTTGCAATTTTAGATCCCTGATGTACCAGGATTCTCCTGGGTGACGCCCTGCATAACTGCCAAAGATATTGTGTATATTGGCCTGAGAGACGTGGACCCTGGGGAACAGTAAGTTTATTCCTTGATGCAATTTGCCTTCATTTTTGTCCTTTTGCATGCTAGGTGCACTGGCCAAACCTATGGTAAAAAATTATTTTAAGTACCAAGTATTTGGTACATCCACGTATGTATATATATTCAAATGATTCTTATATTGACTTGCTGGTAAAAATATATTGATGTATACATAGAGTTCATAGAACTTACATATTTTATGTATCTTAGCACATTGATCTTTTCTTAAAAGGAGAGGAGAGGGCATAGGGTAAGCCTCCATGTTAATTATAAACTACTTACTCTCTCTTCTTTAATAGCTACCTTTTGAAAACTCTGGATATTAAGTACTTTTCAATGACTGAAGTGGATAGACTGGGAATTGGCAAGGTGATGGAAGAAACACTCAGCTACCTACTAGGAAGGTATGATGCTTGTGTGTGCAACATAAATATTGTTAAGCAAACTGGCTACTGGTACTAATCAATGTAAGTTATTAATAAAGCCTTTATGTAAAACCATGGAACTTCACTAGGTTGTTCCTTATTACAGAGCAAAGTAAGAACTATATTTATCTAGTACATAATAAGCCACCAACTTTAACCTGAATTGCTTTCCCTCTTCTTAAAAGAAAGAAAAGGCCAATTCATCTGAGCTATGATGTTGATGGATTGGATCCATCTGTCACACCAGCTACTGGCACACCAGTCATAGGGGGTCTGTCTTACAGAGAAGGTCTCTACATTACAGAAGAAATTTGCAAAACAGGTAGGTATAAATCTAAGTGAATAAAGAATCAAGTGTACACATGGCCAATATATACTTATTAGAAGCCTGAACGAAATTCCTGCACTGGGGTGTGGGAGTCCCTCAGCCCGGCTTGTGTACTCTCACAGTCTGGGAGGCCCGCAAACAATTGCCCAAAGAGGTAGGCCACACCCACCTAGCCCGGGCTCTGCGATGGATTGCCCCAGCAGAGGGAGGCCCAGGATGATCATGGGGCAATGGCTGGGCCCCTGACCAATTGCATTGCACCTGCCTTGGCTGACTTGGCACCAGGTGGGTGTCATAGTGTGGTCATCTGGATGATCATTCCGCTGTTTGACCATTCGGTCAATTAGCATATTGCATTTTTGTTATAGAAACTGCCTGGTCTGAAAATCAAGACCCGGTTGATACTTCCAGAATGCCCACTGCATGAGGCAGTAACCAAAATGGTTTCAGTTGGTTACCCCCTCTTTACACTCCTGAGTAACATTTCAGAGATACTGAATTAAAAATGTCAACTATTTAACAAATTACTTTATTTCTGTTTGTTGCTGTAGGGCTACTGTCGGGATTGGACATAATGGAAGTGAATCCATCTCTGGGGAAGACACCAGAAGAAGTAACTCGAACAGTCAACACAGCAGTAGCAATAACCTTGTCTTGTTTTGGAGTTGCTCGAGAGGGCAACCATAAGCCTATTGACTACCTTAACCCACCAAAGTAAATGTGGATACATTATGTGAAAATCTCAGAGATTATAACTTAGCAAATCAAATAATTTACCTAAGCTTACGGTTATCTCCTTATAGATTTGGTGTTTCAGGAAAATGTTTTACCTGAGGAAATATTAGAACAATTAGTATAAACTGCATCAATTCCCTATTGGTATAAAATATTTGGAAATTCAAGTTTTTGTAAATTTAAAAAGCTTATATTTCCCATTTTGGCAAAAGACTTATCCTTACAAATGGAAGTACATATTAATTCCCTAACAAAAATTTGCTGGCATTAAAAATAAACACACTCCCAGAAGATAATGGCAAGAAATATTCAAAGTGATGAAAAGCAAGAACCTACAACCAAGATTACTCTCCCAGCAAAGCTATCATTTAGAATCAAAGGACAGATAAAGAGCTTCCCAGACAAGAAAAAGCTAAAGGAGTTCATCACTACTAAACCAGTATTACATGAAATGTTAAAGTATCTTCTTGAAGAAGTAGAAGAGACAAAAATATGAACAATAAAGTGGCAATAAATAGATGTCTATCAACAATTCAATCTAAAAAAAATAAATAAATTAACAAGCAGAACTGAAACAAACTCATAGATACAGAGGAAATTTTGACAGTTGACAGATGGCAGGGGAATTGGGCAATGGGTGAAAAAGGTAAAGGGATTAAGAAGTACAAATTGGTAGTTATAGAATAGTCATAGGGATGTAAAATACAGCATAGGGAATGTAGTTATTAATATTCTAATAATTACGGATGGTGTCAGAAGGGTACAAGATGTCATAATATGTCTAATCACTTAGTAAATTATATAATATCTAATCACTTAGTAAATTATATAATATCTAGTCCTTTGTAAATTACACAATGTTTAACTGGGGTGTACACCTAAAGCTAAACCTGAAACTAATATAATGCTGTGTGTCAGCTGCAATTAAAAAAAGATTAAATGGCAAAAAACACACACCAACATAGTGGGACTCCTGGTATCAGGAGGTAAAGGTGCCACACTTAAAAATGGACCGTACTCCCACGTTGTTCAAAAGATGTGATTTTTAGCTGGGCCAGCATGGCTCAGTGGTTGAGCATTGACCTATGAATCAGGTCATGATTCGATTCCCAGTCAGGGCACATGCCAGGCTACAGAGTTGATCCCCAGTAAGGGGTGAGCAGGAGGTAGCCAATCAATGATTCTCTCATCCTTGATGTCTCTATCTCTCTCTCCTTTCCCCTTCCTCTCTGAAATCAATAAAAATATATATATTTAAAAAGATGTGATTTTTATAATACTCTTTATATAAGATCCTATCATGTCTACATATTTCTAAATATATGCAAAACACACACACACACACACACACACACACACACACACACACACATCTTGCTTAAAACTACTATAAAGATTTTAAAAACCACAGTGAAATCATCATCCCCCAAACACTGGTGAGATATTGGTGAAGTTAAACTCTTTGGCTCTGGTTTCTTCATCTGTAAAATGGGTAATCATAAGGATTGGGTAATCTCCAAGTCCATGAATGACAGATGACCTTTATTTTTTCTAAACCTTGAACATGGCATTGTATCCTTTTGGGAGATGGAAGAAAGAAACCAAATAGCTATTTTATTTCTAAGATCATCTAACTCTGACAAGGATTTCACCCAACATGATCTGTGACTTCCTAACATGCCGCCCCCACTCATGACAATTACAGTGTGTCTCATTTGCTGAAATCTTTAATCACCCTAAAACGTTCATCTTCGCTCTGGAATACAATGAGGAGGTAGAAAAAAATGAGAGTAACCTATAACCAAAACCAAGGAAACAATCTCTTCCCCTTCTCCACAACTTACACAGAACTCATGTGGGCTTTGCAGTGAGGAAGGCCCCATGAAAGGATCTGTTTGTTGTTGTTAAAATAGCTATATGTCACCCAGCTGATGTGGCTCTGTGGTTGAGCATCAACCTATAAACCAGGAGGTCACAGTTTGATTTCCTCAGGGCACGTGCTCAGGTTGCCTGCTCTACCCCAACAGGGGGCAAGCATGAGGCAGCCAATCTCATCATTGGTGTTTCTCTCTCTCCTTCCTCTCTAAAATCATTAAACTATATATTAAACTGCTTGATCCCCCCTAACCGCCTCTGCCTACCTGACCCTCCCTAACCCCTCTGCCTGCCTGATTGCACCTAACCACTCACCTGCCTGCCTGATCACTCCTAACCGCCTCTGCCTGCCTGATTGCCACTAACCACTTGCCTGCCTGCCTGATCACCCCTGCCTCTGTTTGCCTGATCACCTTTGTCTGCCTGATCACCCCTAAGTACTCTGCCTGCCTGATTGTCTCTAACCGACTCTGCCTGCATGACTGTTCCCTAACCACCTCTGCCTGCTTGACCACCCCTAACTGCTCACTGGGGAGCAGCTGGCGAGTGAGGGGCTGTGGTCATGCTGGTCTTTGGTCATTCCGCTATTTCAGTCACTGGGCTTTTATTATATAGGATTATCCCATTTTGAAGATGGTGGAGACTGTAGGAATTGGCTTTCCTTTTTCCATTTAGGACACTGATGAGTTCCTTTATGTCATAGGTCCAACCTGAAATTCAACATTTCTCTCATTACCATATATCTCCCCTATACCCTCTTCCACCACCCCCATCACCACACTGTTGTCTGTGTCCATGAGTTATTTTTTCTAAAAAGTTCAATACTTCCGCCCCCCAATATCCCCCCTCCTCTAATATCCCTGTCACTGGAGCTGTCTGCCTGTTCTCTATCTTTAAGTCTATCTCTATTTTGCTTATCCATTTCTTAGGATTCTGCATGTTTTCCTTGTTTAAATATTGTTTATATATATATATATATATATATATATATATATATATATGTATATTAAAAAAACAAATAAAACTCAGCCATATGTCAGAGCCTCCTCTAACCTTTGATTTTTCATAAGCAGCTGAGAAATTTTAAAACCGTTGACATATGGAATTTGTAAGATAAATATTTTACTGAATTGCTTTTAGATAAGAGCGATTATGCCGAATCATTCATGCTTTAGAGTAGGGGTGTCGAACTCAATCAGAGAAGGGGCCAAAATCTAAAATCCAGCCTAAATCGTAGGCCGAATGGTTTACTGAACAGTCATAAACTGTCATTGTGATGGAAACGCAGCAGAGTGCAGTGATGAAAGCATAGTGCGGGCCACATTGCAAGGCCTGGCGAGACGGATTTGGCCCGCGGGCCTTGTGTTTGACACATGTGCTTTAGAGTATACTGTCACATGTAATGACATGTAGTTATTTAAATTAAAGCTTAATAAAATTAAAAATTCAGTTCCACATTTCAAGTGCTCAGTAGGCATTTGTGGCTACTAACCACTGTACTGAATAGCACAGATAGTCTTTCCACTCATGTCCTATTGGACTGAGTGGATTTAAAGGTACTATTAAAGAAAAAAAAAACTTTTAGGATGTATTGAATATAAAGGCATTTTACCCCCTCAGAAGCACTCTAAACCCAAATAAAGTGTCTGCCTTCTATTAATGTCTCTGGTTAATAATTCTTTAAAAAACCCATTTGGGGAAAATCATATTCCTCTTTTTATAAGCTAAAGAAAAAATCAATTGTTAATAAATGAACTGGAATGGACATATCCTTAGAAAGTGATATTTTCACTTCCTTTATTCTATTTGTATAATACCAGTTCATAATTATTCCCGTTTTAGGATCTCAAAACATATTCCTTGAGATAGAGACTATATTGAGATTCTGTTAATAGGTACACTTGAATTCATTTCTCGCATAAAATTTCTGGAGAATTTTAACAATATTACTAACTTAGAAAAATTACTTAAACTATCCTATCTAATAAAAGAATGATATGCAAATTAACCATCACTCCACTACACCCACAAGCCACGTCCACCAGCCAATCTGAGCAAGTATGCAAATAAATCCAACCAAGATGGCTACCAGGAGGGAGACTTGGGTTTCCCTGGCAATGGAGGAAGCCAAGCTTTCCACACACCCTGGTGAGCCCAGGTCTCCACTCAAGGCTACAAAGTTCAAATATAGAAGGTAAACAAATCCGAACAGAAATGGCGGCAGCCGGAGCATGCAGGAGGCTACAAAGTTTCAATAAAGAAGGTAAATGAATTCCAGATACCAGGGCCTCTGCTTGGGTTGCCAAGGGGTGTGGCTAGCCTGCAAACCACCATAGGCCCCTAGCCCAGGCCATCCCACGCCCCAAGGGAACCCTACCCTGATCCAGGACACCCTTCAGGGCAAACCAGCTGGCCCCCTCCTGTGCACCAGATCTCTATCCTTATAAAAGAGTAATATGCAGATTGACCATCACTCCAACACTCAATATGGCTGCCCCCATGTGGACAAAGATCTTGCCCCCATGTGGACACAAGATGGCCACCACAAGTTGGCCAGCAGGGGAGGGCATTTTGGAGGCACCAGGGCTGAAAGGGAGGGCAGTTGGAAGCAATCAAGCCTTCAGGGGAGAGCAGTTAGGGGTGACCACGCCAGCAGAGGATGGAAGTTGGGGACAAACAGGCTGGCAGGGGAGCAGTTAGACATCAATCAGGCTGGCATGGGAGTGGTTAGGTGATCAGGCTGGTAGGCAGAAGTGGTTAGGGGCAATCACAAAGGCGAGCAATTGTGAGCCAGCAGTCCTGGATTTTGAGAGATATCTGACTGCCCGTTTAGGCCTGATCCCACTGGCAGTTGGACATCCCTCAAGCCAACCTCTCCAATCAAGGGGTCCCAGATTGGAGAGGGTGCAAGTTGGGCTGAGGGACATCCTCTCCCCCAACCCCCCAGCCCCTGTACATGAATTTCATGCACTGGGCCTCTAGTTATATATAAATATTTAAGCTGAATTGCATGGCAAATGATTTAGTGATTATAAGCTCTGGCCAGGTAGCTTGATACACCAAGGTTGCAGGTTTGATTCTCAATCAGAGTACATACAAAAATCAACCAATGAATGCACAAATAAGTGGAACAAATCGATGTTTCTCTCTTCTTACTTCTTTCTCTATAAAATCAACTTTAAAAAATGTAGTGATTATAATATGAACCATGAAGGTAAGGTCTAGGATCATGTATTTGGAAATAAAAAATTGAAGTATAGTTGGTTAAACTTCACTAATTCTTTTTTTATTGATTTTTGAGAGAGAGAGAGAGAGAGAGAGAGAGAGAGAGAGAGAGAGAGAGAGAGAGAGAGAGAGAGAGAGAAAGAGAGAATATGAGAGATTTATTATTCCACATATGTATACATTTACTGGCTGATTCTTGTATTTGCCCTGACCAGATATCAACTCACAACCTTAGGTTATTGGGACAATGCTCTAAACAACTGAGTTACCTGGCCTGGGTAGTTCATTTTTATTTTAAAGCAGTACTAATTTTTTTTTAATTAGTACTCTTAATTTCTAGGTCAATGTCAGTCACCAGCTGTACTGTACAACCCATGGAAGTAAACTAGGTCTCTCTTTCACAACCCAGCAAACACACTGCCTGGCACCCAGTAGATGCTCATTCAAATTGAGTAATCAATCACACAATGTATTCATTTAACAGATTTTACTAATTATTTTTGAAGTGTTTTACAATCTTAATGTCATTTCTTCCCAAAATTAACATTAAGTCTCTCAAAATTTAATAAACCCTAAAGAACCAAAATGTACACTGCATTTAAAAAATAAATACTTAAAATCTTTAAGATTATAAAAATTCAAAGAATAACATTATTTGCTGGGTAAGTGTCAACCTGGAAAAGCAATTATTTTTAAAAAGATTGGAGAATCACCATTTAAACATGAGTTTATTAAGTTTGTGCATTTCTATCTATGTTATCTACTTACAAAACTTCCAACTCATTTCATATAGTAAAGTTCAAGTCCCTAGCAAAGGCAAAAATTTGCCAAACTACCTTGATTAGAAACATTAGCTTATTTACTTAAAAATCTATGATAAAAATTTTAAGACATTTAAAAATATGAAAGTTTACTTCTGCAATGCAATGAAATTTTCAGTTCTTTATTTGACAAAATTCTCTTATCCCAAAGACACACCAAAAGAGATTTATATATAAAAGGATCTGAATAACTACTACATATGTAGTGCATTTAAAACAATGGATAAGTTGCCCAGCCAGTTTGGCTCAGTGGATAGAGCATCGGCCTGTGGACTGAAAAGTCCCAGGTTCAATTCCAGTCAAGGGCATATACCTTGGTTGTGGGCAGAAGGCAGCTGATCAATGTTTCTCTCTCATCAATGTTTCTAGCTCTCTATACCTCTCCCTTCCTCTCTGTAAAAAATCAATAAAATGTATTAAAAAAAATAAAACGAGTTAAGTCATTAATTATAAAATATAAAACCAAACCAATTGCTAGACTAGGAAAGATTGAGAGTATCTAATAAAAGTCTTTTGATCACAGATACCTCAATGTTCCTAGGCAGCTCTAATAAATTGTTGTAGGAATGAACAACATGTAGTTTATTTGACCTCTTAGAAACATAAGTGTTCCTAGGCAGCGCTAATAAATCACTATGCATACAGACAACATATAGTCTACTTCATCTCTTAGAGACATAAGTATAGACAAGGAGATGGGAGTTATAAGATGTCAACAGATTCACCATTTGAATCAAAATAAAACAATCTGAACGTCACTGCTTCTACTACATCACTATGTAGTATGACCACGTTCAGATTTAACAGGTCCACTCTGAAAGACAGGTGTTATCTCCATTGCAGCACGGTGCATGCTGACTTCACTGAGTGACTGGTAAAGACACTGGCACTTGGTTAGACTGAGGGGCTGGAGACCCACTATTTATGGCTTGTGGAGGTACTGTAGTTGGTTCCATCTTGCTAATGTGTGTGATGAATCGAAGACGAAGTTTTAAAGCTGGTTTTAAATTACAGATAATCTTCTCTACCTAAAAAATGAAAATACATGGAAAAATATTTTTAACCAGAAACTTTAATTTCCCACTTTAAAGAAGTGACTTAATACATATTCTGAGACAATATACTAGGGAGTGGGATGGATGAGAAGTTTATCTATATGCTCTATGTTTTAACAAAAGCAGATAAAACTATTTCTCTCACACGAGAAAAACTGTGTTCTTCCTCACACACATTATATATATGTATAGGTGTGTATATGCATATATCTATGTATATAAACATATACTTACAAAAACACATATACTTCCCTGGCTAGCCAGTAATCCTACTGCCAAAAGCTAGTATAATTTACACTGAAAATATTACACATGCAATAGGTGGTCATCCTTTTAAAATACCATCTTCACAGAAGCATGAAGCACAATTACATTCTGAAGTTCTTTGAATAATATGTCTGTAACATATATCTACAAATCTAATTTTTTTAAATTCTGATTTATACTTGGAATTTAAACTATATATTAGACTACTCTTACTTAAAACACTTTAAAGAAATAAATACATCAAGCAGTTTCACAGCTTTTTTACTCAAATGCTCTTTGACCTTGCCAGGAAATATCAGCCTATTAATAATTTTTCCGCCGAAATTGGGTTGGCTCAGTGGATAGAGCGTCGGCCTGAGGACTAAAGGGTCCCAGGTTCGATTCTGGTCAAGGGCACGTACCTTGGTTGCGGGCCTATCTCCAGTGGGAGGTGTGCAGGAGGCAACTGATCGATGTTTCTCTCTCACCGATGTTTCTAACTCTCTATCCCTCTCAATTCCTCTCTGTAAAAAAAATCAATAAAATATATTTAAATAATAATAATAATAATTTTTCCTTTCTGTAATTACCTTGTGTCAAAGTGTCTTAAGCCCAAATATAAAGGATATGCTAAATAAAGCATGCCTGAGCCCAGCTGGTGTGGCTCAGCATCAACCTATGAACCAGGAGGTCATGGTTCAATCCCAGTCAGGGCACATGCCCAGGTTGCAGGCTTGACCTCCAGTGTGGGGCATGTGGGAGGCAGCCAATCGATGATTCTCATCATTGGTGTTTCTAGCTCTCTCTCTCCCCCTTCCCTTCTGAAATCAATAAAAATATATTTTTTAAAAATAAATAAAACAAAGCATGCCTTATTGGTTCCCACTCAACTTTCCTGGACGATTCTGTTGAGGCATAAAGGAGTCAAACCCTCCCCAGCTGCAAGGGAAGAATCCAGCAGACTAGGATTCATATGCTTTTATATCAGTTTCTCTCTCTTGGCCATTATAGAAGGAAGTAACCTTGAAGTATGGAGGGGAGGTTATTTAATTTCTCCTGAAACAGCCAACACTGTTTCCTACAGATAGAAAACTCTGTTATGGCTCAAGGTCCTTTCTACTTTCAGACAGCTCTACTAGGAAGTGGCTCTTCATATGTTGAGTCAGAATGCACCTCCTTTTAACTTCACCAGAGTTTATATGTCCTTTGAAGTCACACAGAACAGATGTAATACTGAACCCAAATGCAACCCTCTCAAAAGTGAGGACATAATTAATTAATGAGTTTGGTGTGGGATGTGCTAAATTGGAGATGCAGGGAGAAATACCAATCTTCAGGTTGAGAAGAAAGTTAAGGATGAACCTTAAAGTTCAAATCAAACTTTCCCAGTTCCTTCCAATACCCTTCAAGAAATCACTCTCTGGTCTCTCCTGGCTTTAGTCTTCTCGTTATGCTGCAATTGTTTAATGTTCCCATAGTGTATCCTAATCACCGTCCGGAAAAAGCAGGATCTCCTTCACATAACACAACACCTGTCTGGTCTTTTCAGTAGCAATGCTGTACTGTTTCTTCCTAAGGAAATTACTGTTAACTAACTCCCCTCGGTCTTTTTCAGATGTCTTGATGCAAATATCAAGGGCAAAATGTAAGAAGTTATAACATGTATTTACTTTTACTTTAATACTATATCCAGAATATGCTCATGTAGCCTAAGAGACTGATATCAATCTTTTCTCCTCAAAAGAAAATAAACGAAACCACTCACCCAAACAAATAAGTCTATCACCATATGTTCAAGGTTTCTAAACTAAACATCACTAAAAGTAATTAAAGGCAACTTACTTGCTCTTTCACGCTGTCACCAGTAAACATATATTTCACATGGTATAGGAAGTCACAGATGGGATCCATGTAATTCAAGTGGGTGCTGCACTGGTCTACATTCAGCAACATGTCATAAAATGCCACACCAATCTAGTTAAAAATAACCAAAAATTATTTATATGTCAAAAGTGGTTCAATAATTCAGCATGATATACTGGACTCCATTCCAAGACAGAGGAATAACAGGTTTATAGAACTGTCACTGACCACACAAGATGTGTGCATGGAAATATGACATAGCCTGCATTATAGTAGACTCGATAGTGCTACAAATGCCCCAATAGGGCATAAATGAAATTTCTCTTTACAGTTTAGGAATTTTTCTTAAAATTAAAAGACAGATGATCCCCTTTCAGGAAATCATATTTCAATTTCTGGGATAATCGCAACCTCAGGGATATTTTATATTGTACCTTTAGTTCTATCTGGTGGCTTATACTTTAAGGTTCTATTCCTGGTTCATTTTCTTTTCTCTGTACTCTGTTCTAGATGATTTTAATTAATTCTTCTCTACTGTAGTGCAGGTTCTCAAACGCATTTCTCCTTCCTTAACTTTCTTCTTAACTTTGAAGATATGTATTTCTCTCTGCATCTCCAATTCAACACATCCCACACCAAACTCATTATAGTTACTTAAGTCATGGGTACACTAAGTCCTCCATAACCACTCTCTGATCCTACTAAGCTGACTTCACTACTAATGGATTATAAAATGAAACTTGGAAAACAATGGGGAAAAAACCCAAATAGATATTTTAGAACTTAATTTTATCACAGAAAACCCAGATTATATTTTACCTCTATCATACACCGAGTTCTCTCTTGCTGAAATCTTTGTAAAAATGGTCCCACAAGATGGTACACATAAAGCAATTGGAATTCAGTCTTCACTATAGGAAGAAGTACTTCAGTGAGAAACCTAAAATGCGAAGATAATAATTTATTGTGATTTGAAATCAGTGAATTATTTGAATTTTGTTAATATAGCCTATCCTAGTATTTGTAAAAGTCATAATTATTTTTTTTAATTTGTTTAGATTTTGGTAACCTTTTAAATTATTCTCGTCTCTCACTGGCTCTTATTTTCATTTGATTACTGGAATAAATTTAGATTTAAAGTCATTCTTAGAAATAAAATTACTGCCATGACTGTGAATAGAGAGGTCTGCAGACTGAAAGGTCCCAGGTTCGATTCCAGTCAGGGGCATGTACCTTGGTTGCAGGCATATCCCCAGTAGGGGTATGCAGGAGGCAGCTGAATGATGATTCTCTCTCATTGATGTTTCTCTCTATCTCTCTCCCTCCCTCTCTCTGTAAAAAATCATTAAAATAAAAATAAATAAATAAAATAAAATTACTGAATGACACAGGTGCATATAAATGACAGAGTCTTATATAAATGCCATTCTCAAGAAAGTTGAATCTAGTTAATACCAATTTTATAGTTAAGGTAAATAATGAGAAAATAGGCTGATATCAGTTATTTAGTTCAAAAAGGCAACTTCTGGAATACATCCTGGGGAAAAGCCTCCTTAAAATGTAATGGAAAACTAGATACCAAATTATTACTTGCATGTACAAATTACATTTTTTTCAAACAATTCTGAAGTAAAAGAGTTTTTCTGATTATCTAGAAATTCTACATCACTCTCACTTTCCAAGTTGTTCTTACATGTCCGTGAGGTTAAAGAACAAAACAAAAACATCACATAAGTAAAATTTATTTTAAAAATCATAATACCTACTTGGGAATGAGAGAAAGTTGCCCAATGCTAGAATGGTGCCACACAGCATGCGCTAGAGCTAACGTATAGCTACAGCTCATCTCGGAGTAGGACTGATGACAAGCAGTGAAGTCAAAGAGGCGGAATGGATAGCCAACCCACTCAGTTTCAGATGTCAAGCTGGGACTACTGATGACACTCACAATTTGATCATGAAGGACAATCCAATATGGCTCCTTTAAAACCAGAGGAAAGCCCGATGAAAAATATCACGTATCTAGTATTCCACCCCAGATTCATTTTCATACTCTAACCCCTAAAATAATAGCACTTTCTCATTCTTTAATGTTTTATACTTATCCAGCTTGTGTCCTTGTGTAATGGAGATTTTGCCATCAAAAGAGGGCAGCTTCATAATAAGTCATTATTATGCTTGTGAGTTGGAGGGTTCCATACACGCATCTACCTGTTCATTAGTACCTGATACTGACTACACAGTAAATCTACTTTAACAATATTTATCACACAGACACTACTGATACACATTTGTAACTCAAAAACAAATACATATATTTGGGAGGTGGGTAAGGAGACAGTAACTTAACTCACTGGTAGAGCAGTGATGATCAATCCAATTGCATTCATCCATGCTGTAATGTTCTCTCGTGGCACTAAAGGCTGACTACAAAGTGGGAACAAATAATAAAAATGTGGAATTATAAAAACATTTTATATGGTTGATAATGAATCTTATTTTGAGAACATATATAATTCAGGGGCTGACCTCTACATTCAGTAGGAGTCATCCAATAAAACAATAGACTTTTATTGAGTAAAAATTTACTATACAGAAACAAAAGCAAAATAGGAATTTTGTTTTGGGTTGTTTCCTTTAACAAATGGGCTGAAAGACTATTTCCATTTATTTATACTTCTTCTCTAATCATTATCCCATCCTTTATGTTGGTCTTTAAGAAAGGACTCTTCAAAGACAGTCTTTATTGAGAGGTTAACATTATTCTTAAATTAAATACCAAACAACTAATAAAAAATATAAGTAGGAATAAACTCAGGTCTCCTGACACTGTCTAGGGCCAACTCCATTACACATATATCGTAAGGACAAGATCTAGAACCAAAAGACAGTTACTATCCAATATGTATCAGCCTTGGGACAATAGGTTTATCTGACAGCTCCAAATAAAATATCAATTTCTTTACAAATAAACAGTAAATCTTATTGCATACAACAGTATACATACCTTTTTAGCACAACATTTAGAAGAGCATTTCCAACTTCTTTGCCCGAAACAGCTAAGGCCATGAGCTCCACACAAGTAACATGCAGTGCATGGGCAGCTGGATTGGGAAACTCATTGAATCTCCAGTCACAGTTTGGAAATGGACCAGGAGACTTGCCAGCCATCGGTGCAAATGATTAAAGCAATAACTACTAGGTTATTTTAAGATTAATGGCTCATATTTGAATAGTGCTTTACAGTTTTCAAAATGTTTCACATGTAAACATCTCATTTGATTATCAATTTATCTGATTATGAACCTCCAAGAAATGATTTACCTGAGAGGTTAGAAAACAAATAATACATACCAAATACAAATAAACTTGATATGACAAATATATTGACTGCAACCATATGATCAATCGTCAAGTATACGGTAAAATGGTCGGTCTTATATAGGTGGGCTCTTATAACTGTGATGTGATAGCTATAGCAACCAAAGTACTACTATAACTATCAACTTATTCCTTCTAATAGTTATAGGACAATTAATAAGAAAGTTACTCCACCTAGCCAGTTTGGCTCAGTGGATAGAGCGTCAGCCTACGGACTGAAGGTTCTGGGTTCAATTCTGGTCATGGGCACATGCCCAGGTTGTGGGCTCGGTCCCCAATAGGTGGTGTGCAAGAGACAGCCAATTAATGATTCTCTTTCATCATTGATGTTTCTATCTTTCTCTCCAACTCCCTTCCTCTCTGAAAAAAAAGAAAAAAAGAAAAAAAAAGTTCTTTATAATAAGTAATTCTTCTATTTCACAAAATAAGTTTCTTTGTGTATAGAAAAATAAATCATGACCATTTATATAAAACTGCTCTAAATAGTGGCATGGTATATAGACATACTAAGTATAATGTGCTGAAAACTTAAGACATGAAATCAAAATGAAGAAATAAAAATACCAGTATAGTGGCATTTTTTAACAGAAAAGAGAGAAAATAAAGTTTATTATCCTCTATTAACATTTTTAAAAAATTCAATTACTTACTTAAAGCAACAAATTTCTATTTTCTCCAGTAGCAAACAAATGCACATACTACAATAGTAAATTTATTTAGAAATAGGATTGTTTTCTTTGAAACAAATCTTATAAGGCCTGCTTTACTTATTTATTTATTTTTTAAAAATATATTTTATTGATTTTTTACAGAGAGGAAAGGAGAGAGATAGAGAGCTAGAAATGTCGATGAAAGAGAATCATCGACCAGCTGCCTCCTGCATACCCCCCACCGGGGATGTGCCCACAACCAATGTACATGCCCTTGACTGGAATCGAACCTGGGACCCTTCAGTCCGCAGACCGACACTCTACCACTGAGCCAAACCGGTTTCAGCATAAGGCCTGCTTTAAATATAAATTTTAATGGAGTGGATTTCTGTCTCTCTGTCATGATGCTGTTAAGATTCCAAACTTTTCAGAAGTAAAAGGAGAAACAATCTTCAAGAAATCTGAAGTCTTAGAATACATAAAAATATTATCTTGAAAAGACAACACAGCTCACGTTCTCACAAATCATACATGCCCTTATTTCTACAGAACCTGGCAAATCACCATAAAAAGGATATTATCCACTAGTCGGCCAATCAGTCTGCAATAGTAGGAGTCATCTGGGACCCAAGGATTGTCTTCTCGGGCATTCATAGCACATTTCAGGTAAGTGTCACTTAGACACCAGCCCTGCGGTCGATTATCCTTCAGAGAGCCGATGATCGCGTGAACAAGTTTTCGTTTGAGAAATGCACGATCTCTCAGGTGCATTTCATAATAGTGCAGAGTATTATACAAATAAGTCACTGGACGATCTGCCAAGAAGAAAACAAATCACCATGATGCGATCTGGTTACCGACAATGTGAAAAAACAAATCCTATTTTCAGATTACCCAAAAACAGCTAAGATTATGAAATTATTTCACATGCTGGGTAATTAGAGACAGTGAATATTTTAATTTTAGGACAAGGCAGCAAGCTTCCAATAATATATATCTCTGTACTTAAAGATATTCATTACAGTCTGAGGTAGCAATTTCACTTCTGGAAATGTATCCTGCAAAAGTGAAACATGTGCTAGGACATTCCTTTCTAGAGGGCAGGGATGGGACATTTTTTGGCATAACCCTCTGTATCATGTGCATTTATCACCTAATCCAAATGGAAAATGCTTTCAAGGAATGTTCACTTTAACTTCATACCTAATCTGCAGTGCTAAAAGACAATTCTAGCTTCTGCACTGGACGAAAACATCTTAGATCAACGTCTAGAAAGCACTGCCCCAGAAAAAGACACTTTGTCCCCATAGTGGCTCCCCTGGGGCTCCCCTGCTTCTGTCACTGACTCTGCTGTTCTCTAGGACCAGAGTTAACACTTCAGACTTGTCTTGATTTCTTTCTTTTCATATTCTCCCCACAACCAGCCACACAAGCCCTATTTCTTCTTCCCTGACTGTCTGTCCCTTCTATATCATTTCCAATGCCATCATACTTGTTTATCATACACCTGAGCTTTCTGACATAATGTGTCGAAATGGCTTCCTTCTTCCAAGACATGCTGCCAACTACAACTGGACTTATCTAAAAGAAATGTTTTCCACTTATGCTTTCCATGTAATTATCTTACTCAATAACTTCTAGTTGATCCTTGATCACCTGCGTTATAAAATCAAAACTTCCCAAGCAGGCATTTAAGATGATCTGTCAGGTACAATACATAAATTTTCAATTTAGTCCAATGAGGCTATTGTTTTCAAGATGTCTTGTTTTTAATACCTTCATGTTTTCCCAAAGTATTATTTCTGCCTAGTCTTCCCCCTCCTTTCTGTTTATACAAATCACATACATCACAGTGAGATTCTATCCATCCAAGAAGCTGCCAAAATTCAATTTGTTCCCAGTAACGTCAGTCTGTTGTGAACACATATTTTTTTTCCTTCTACAGTCTTTGGCAATTAATCACACTCTGTGTCAAATAAGGCAACTCTCACATATCACTTTTTTTCTATTTAATACATTTGTTATGATTAACTATTCATATTTTTATGTCGTCGATTTTAGACTTCCTGGTACCAACGCATGGCACTTAACCTCAAAACACTTTAATAAAACAAGATCTTTAGAACCACTGTTACCCATATGGTCATGCCTAGCCCACTTATGTTTACTCTGAGATGCGATTAAATTTGAAAAAGCTCACCATGAAATTTATACAGCCCTCCTAGGTGATCTAGGAGAGTCTCCAGTGATTTGGAGACGGGAAGCAACTCTAAAAACCTGTGGATTACTATATCAAATACAGGAAGGAATCGGAGACACACGTTGCCAAAATAGATGGGCAGATAGGGTGACTGGATCTGCACGGGAGGATCGACCTGCTCCGCCAGGCCCTCAAAATACAGCTTCTCAGGATATTTCTGTGGAAATGAGGAAATGGTAAATGTTTAGGCCATTTTTTTTTCTCTTAAAAAAAAGAGCTAAATAACCTTGCCGTTTAAAAAAGAACATGAAACCATGCTTGCTCCTACAATGCAATGAAAACAAGAGTCATTTACTTGGTAAAAATCTTTTATCCCCAAAATACACCAGAAATGATTATGTATAAAAGGATTTGTAGTAACTCTTTTCATTTTGTACTGTATGTATCCATGTCTATAAAAACTGCAATTTTAATTTATTCATAATTTTAGAGATACTCTAGAACCTTGAAGAAATTTAGAGACCAGAGAGAAAGAGTAGAACCACAGAGACTACAGCCAAGCATGGTTAGACAGGATTAACTGAAACACTAATCTGAATGAGTACCTTGTGGTAATTCATGTGCTTGGTGTGCCAGTCGTTCTGCAGCCAGTGCTCTGGGGAATTTTCCTTCACAAAGTCACTTACTCGGTTTCGAAAATCATTTGGTTTGAGTAACAGCAACTGAATTATGAAATAACAAACCTGGGCTTCATTTCCTTCATGGCTACGCATGGCCTTTGGAGAAGAACAGAAAATTCTATGAAAATGTCTAACCTATGCAATAGTATGGGTCTGCCACTTGATACTCTAAATCCAAATAAATAAAATGTTACTATATCTCTATTTTATCCTTTTACTGATTTATAGATTTGCGTTATTTCCCCTAGTAAATTGTAATTATCTTTTTTTTAAAGGAGCTTCTTTAAAAATTTTTATTTATTTATTTGTGTGTGTGTGTGTGTGTGTGAGAGAGAGAGAGAGAGAGAGAGAGAAAGAGAGAGAGAGAGAGAAACACTGATGTGTTGTTACACTTATTTATGCATTCATTGGTTGATTCTTTTATGTAACCTGATCGGGGATCAAACCCACAATCTAGGTATATCGGGAAGATACTAGAACCAACTGAGCTACCTGGCCGCGGTAGACTGTAACCATCTTTACATCTGTGCTCCACAGCTAAGAGGTTAATGTTAACCTATCAGCTACCCCAAATATCACCACTATAGTATTTTTATAAATGTAGTATTACCCACCCTGATTTAGTGTCTTTTTCTTAAGTTTTTGCCTGCAATAGAATCAAGTCAATAGAAAAAAACATTTGGGGAATGTTGGGTGGCAATGAGAAAATCCAGTTCTGACTGTGGCTACCAAACTGCACAAATGGTTATTAGCACATACAAAGGAATGCAGTGACTTACAAATTCCTGACCCTAGTGGGAAACTTTGAGAATCAACTCAGGTCTAACGGCTCATATTTTTAGAGCATCATAAGGCCAGGGTCATATCTGTCTTATTTACTCCATACCTTCTGTGCATAGAACATAGTATATATTCAATACACACTTATTAAATTAATGAGTAAAGAAACTGGGAAATATCTAGTTCTTTAGGAAAGTGATAGCAATGCTTAATTATTGTACAAATTTATTAAATCCTTAGAAGCAAGATCTATCAATCACACACATTGATCCAAAAGAGAATAGACAGCTTAGAAACATTCTTAAGTAAGCATATTCTTACCAGGCAGAGAATTAATCTGTCCAATGTAACAATATTGTACTTCCATACCATGTCATTAAGAATTTCAATGCATTTGTTGAGTTGCTGACCCCCAGCTGATGTAGAGAATTCATATACCAGGAAATCTGCAAAGGTTCTCACATGGGCAACCAAGGCCCTGGCTCCAATTCTTTCTAATACCCTGGAAAGCAGAGTAAAAAATAAATTATATTGCTGTATGGTATAATGGGTTGCCAAATGGATTGCAGATCTAGGTTTTGGGCTTACCTGTAACCAATCTGATTAATATGATCTGTTTCCAAGAGCATTTTCCAGAGAAGACAAAGGAAGAGAGGAGAGCCTTGATTAGAAAAGTGGGCGATGATGTTATTTTCATTGCTCATTGACTTCCACTTCCTATACTCCTCCTCCACATTTTTTTTCAGATTAAAACGGCTTTCCTGAGGTACATTATTTTGTTTGAAGAATGCCTAAAAGGAAGACCAGAAATTTACTTCAATGGCTGTAGTAAAAAGGGCACTGGTATAGAGTTAAGAAACCAGTTCTAGACTTGACTCTGACAGTACAACACTGTTGGTGTCTCAAACAACTCAGTAACCAAGGCCAGAATTTCTATTAGTATATTGGGAAAATATGCAGACTTGACTAGATTATCACTGAGATTCCGTTCTTAGATTTCCTAAAGAGGAATTCCAAGCAAGCCTGAATTCAAAGTCTCTTCATAATCGTTGATACTTCTATTCACCTTGGGGAGAAAAGAAAGAAAAATTTATGTGCCTGTTGGTTACATATTTCCCTATCGCTATAAGGAAAATCCGTTATATTAGCTCAGTGGTTCTCTGAGTATGGCAGTGTCAGCAGCAATCTGTATTTAAACAATCTTCCAGGAGATTCTGAAAAGTTTGAGAGCTACTGCTCTACCCCTATTAGAATTTATATGTTCACTGCGCCTAAAATTTTCTCTGAAAAGTAGATGAGGTTTCTTTCTCTGTATTATAAAGGCCAAGTTTATAGTTTTTCTCTCTGTGTGATTTCTTTTAAATGCACTCAAGTGTAGCATATGTGCATTAAATTATATTTCTCTGTATTTCAGTACTATGAGAGAAAAAATTTTCAGTTAATGTATTAATTCTCACAAGTATTAACTAATTAGATAAAACCATAATAATTAAAATTTAAGAAACATACAGTCCTAGAATAGGACAAGGAACAACAACCCAAGATTTTGAAATAGCGAAGATTTATAAAAACAATAAGAAAATCTAACTTTCCTTTGGCTGTCACCAAAAGTGACTCTTTGAATAACATTATAAAGGGGAAGAATGATTTCATATATATTCAATATATAATTCAAGACCAAATTACCTGTAGTGGGCCTGGAAAACAGCTAAGAGTATGTGAAGCCCAGTTATGAGGAGTAAAACTCATAATGGTCTGAAGTATGTCTTTACACCAAGTTCCCTGAATTGAGTCAGAGCCTGTAAAAAAATCTAAACAAAAACAAACAGATATAATCTAGATCTAAATGATCACATCCATAATTCATAACAAAATCATAAAGTCACAAACAACTAGATACACTGAGAGAATTTCACTGCAATGCATTTACTACTAAGCTAGTAATATTCAGCTTAGGACCTAAATTTGAATGATATGAACACACATGAAAAGACAAAGACAATGGGAATCTTTTTAAGTTACAGAACATCAATGATACAATTGTTGTACAAGTCTACCATTATTGCTCACTTAATTCACTCTGACAGTAAGGTATTAGTACTCTTTGAGCTAAGAGAACAGAATTAAGAAAGCAGATATTGTGCCTGGCTGGGGTTGCTCAGTGGTGAGCATCAACCAATGAACCAGGAGGTCATGTTTCAATTCCTGGTCAGGGCTCATGTGCAGGTTGCTGGCTCAATCCCTAATAAGGGGCATGCAGGAGGCAGCCGATCAATGATTCTCTCTCATCAGTGATGTTTCTCTCTGTCTCTCCCCCTCTGAAATCAATAAAATATTTTTTTTTAAAAAGAGGGTAAAGCTCAAGAACCATTACTGAAAAGTGGCTAAAAACTGATGCTCATCCTGGTTAAAGTGACAGTACACAGAAGAATCTATATCAATAACTGAAATGGTGAGACTATCAAAACAACTGTATTTGCTTGAACAAATAAATGAAAAGTATCTTTTTAGCATCTCATCCCCTTAATAATCAGTAGAGACCTGGCACACTCCAATTTCACTATTTTGTTAGTGGTGGTGGATTCACTGTACCTGTCACGTGAGTTGCTCTAGCTAAGGTCAATATCAATGCTCGGTTCAGTTCTTCGGATTCCGCGGACAGCACTGTTTTGGGGTCATTAAGGAAGCGTGTGAACTGTGGCTGTAACTCGGAGCTACCTAAGGCTGTTATAAGCCTAAGAGCAGTGCTCTCAACACTGAAATGTGGGAGAACAACAACAACAAAAAAAACATGAAAGAGTTAACTTGCATATAAACTTCAGAATTATGGAATTAAATCTAATTCTAGGCTAATTAAAATGGGAAAACATGCAAACTATGAATTTCCCTTCTTTAATATTTTTTCTCTATTTTTAAAATTCTTACCTGCGGTTATTTTTCCATTGATTTTTTTTTTTGGGGGGGTGGGGAGGGTTGGGTAGTGGGGAGAGTAGAAGAGAAAGGGTAAGACAGAAACAAACATTGTTGCCCCCTGCAGGAGCCCCAACCAGGGCCCCGGCCTGGAAGGAGCCTGCAACCAAGGTACCTGCCCTTGACTAGAATCGATCCCATGACCCTTCAGTCCACAGGCCAACAACTCTATCCACCGAGCGAAACTGGATAGGGCCCTTCTTTAATTTAAATAAATAAATAAAATAAAAAAACCTTTTTTTGTATGAGATGAGCTTTGCTTAATTTTTTAAAAAACTTAAAGTGGCAAATTTTATAGTGAAAACTACTTGACTTGCTTACACATTTGAAAATTTGAAAAAGCCTATAGCCTATAAGACTAAAACACTTCACTTAAATAAACAGCATTTCAAAAATTACATTATTTTTACTTGTGATATATGGTATTTTCGCTTAGAGCAAAATCAAAATAATATGATTGATACTTTAACCATAATTCGAAGTATGTTTAAATCTAGTATCCTAAAAGGCTAAGTTAGAACATAATGCTAAAGGTCTTGGAAGTACTTGTTCTCAGTCCAAAGATCCCAAGGAAAGGATTCAACTATCTTCATAAATTTCTGTTTAAAATGCTGAAGGGAAAAAAAAAAAAAAAAAAAAAAGCCGAAACCCGTTTGGCTCAGTGGACTGAAAGGTCTATGGACTGAAAGGTCCCAGGTTTGATTCCGGTCAAGGGTATGTACAGGCACATCCCCCAGGCAGCTGGTCGATGTTTCTCTCTCATCGATGTTTCTAGCTCTCTATCTCTTTCCCTATAATAAAATATATTAAATAATAAATAAATAAATAAATAAATAAATAAATAAAATAAAAAGCTGAACTCTGGGAGAACCCTATTTGCCAGTGATGCATCTGATAAGGTTTAATATATGAAATCTATAAAAAGCTTATAAAACTCAACACAAAATCACAAACAATTCAATTAAAAAATGGGCAAAGAACCTGAATAGACACTCTCCAGAGAAAACATAGCTGTCCTAGCTAGTCTAGCTCAGAGGAGAGAATGTTGGCCTTGGGGCTGAAGGGTCTGGGGTTCGATTCCAGTCAAGGGTGCATACTTTTGGTTGCAGGCTCAACCCTGGCCCTGGTCGGGCAGCCAATGGATGTATCTCTGTGTCTCTCCCAATCGCTTCAACTCTCTCTAAAAATCATACGGAAAAATATCCTCGGGTGAAGATTAACAAAAACAAAACAAAGAGAACATACAGATGGCTGATAGACATGAAAAGATGCTTAACATCACTAGCCATTAGAGAAATGCAAAGTAGAACAATGACATATCACCTCACATCTGTCAGAATGATTCTCATCAATAAATCAACAAACAAGTATTGACCAGGATATGGAGAAAAGGGAACCCCTTGTGCACGGTTGGTGGGAAAGCAGATTGGTGCAGCCACTGTAGAAAGCAATATTAAATAACCTCAAAAAATTAAAAATGGAATTGCCTTATGACACAGTGACTCCTCTTTAGGGAATATATCTGAAGAAACCCAAAACAATATATGCACCCCTATGTTCATTGCAGCATTGTTTACAATAGCCAAGACTTGGAAGCAGCCCAAGTGTCCAATGGTAAGATGAGTGGCTAAAAAAAGCTGTGGTACATTTACACAATGGAATACTACCCTGCTGTAAAAAAAAAAAAAAAAAGGAAATCTAACCATTTGCAACAGCATGTTTGGACCTGGAGAGCATTATGCTAAGTGAAATAAGCCAATCAATGAAAGACAAATGCCATATGATTTCATATGTGGAATCTAATGAACAAAATAAATTAATAAACAAAACAGAAACAGATTCATAGATAGAAAACAGACTGACAGCTGTCCGAGGGGAAGGGCTGGGTAAAAAATGTGAAGAAATTAAGCAAATACAAACAAAAAATAAACAAACAGAAAACCTCACAGAACACAGAAAACCTCATACACACTGATGACAGTATGGTGATTACCAGAGGGAAAGGGGGATGGGTAAAACAGGGTGAACAGGGGGATAAATGGTGATGGAAGGAGACTTGACTTGGGGTGGAAAATACATAAAATATACAGATAATGTGTTATAGAACTGCACACCTAAAACCTATATTATTTTGTCAACCAATGTCATCACAATAAATTCAATAACAAACTTTAAAAAATAAAACGCTAGGACACAAAACTCTGGGGAGGGAGGGCATGAATGGGGGGGGGGGGCAATGGTATATGTACACAGATAATAATTTAATAAAAAATATATATATAAAAATAAAATAAAATAAAACGCTGGACTCTACTCATTCTATACTGGAAATAATATGCTTCAGAAGCAGAGGGGTTTTATGACAAATTAATAAAAATATTGTAAGGCAAAGATTTAAGTTTCCATTTCCAACTAAGTTTCTTATGAATCTTAAAGAAAAACAATCTTCAGTGAGCTCACCAGAGATGGAGCTGGTTCTGATTTGTTTGTGCAACTGCAGCCAAAGTATGAAGATGACTCAAGAGCTGAACTCTGTAATGAGGCTGAATGTGGTGCATCCGGTAGCTGAACATCTCAAGAAGTGTGTGTAAGATCCCCCAGGCGTGAGACTTGAAAACGGTTGGCAAAAGCTGACCTTAAGGAACAAGATCATTTAAGACACCAATTAGTAAAAGCTGTGCATGAAAAGACACGAAAGTCACAGAGAAAAATCGATGTAAAGATTTGATTGTGAATACACATGCTCAGAGGCATACATAAGTGCATGTATTTCCCAAATGTTCTCTATAACTTCTATTTTAATTGTAAGGAAAAAAATCCAGATCATAGTTATAATATGAAGTTTGCTTTTTCCCCCTGGAATTTGACAACTGATAATCCAATTCATCTGGAAAAATAAAACACAAGGTATGTCTGGAAAAAAAAATTTATTTTAGCTGAATCCAGTTTGGCTCAGTTTGGCCTGTGGACTGAAAGGTCCCAGGATCGATTCCGGTCAATGGCAAGTACATTGGTTGCGAGCACATCCCCAGTACAGGGTATGTAGGAGACAGCTGGTCGATGTTTCTCTCTCATCTATGTTTCTAGCTCTATATTCCTCTCCCTTTCTCTCTGTAAAAAAATCAATAAAATATATTTTAAAAAATATTCTAACCATTCTCACTTCTCTATTATTTTCAAAATCATTTTTAATGAAATTAAGGTTCCCAGTGTTTTAAAGCAAGAGGACTCACTTTTTAACACATAAATTGTATCACACATGTTCTTATTCCCTCCTCCCTCCTAAGAAAGTTTTATTCATATCTCAATTATCTGGTAAAAAGAGTAACTATGTTTAGAATTAAAATTACATTATATTGGTGAAAGTTAGAATTACCATGAATCAGAATAACACTTCCATACTAGACAGTATCTATTATTCAGAACAGCAAAATAACTAACAGATATTATAAGCCGTCCTCTGTAATGCAGGAAAACGCTTTCCATATTGCCACTCAGATTCAGTATTCATTGCTACCCAAGGAGCAAACCAGAAAGAGGCAAACAGGACCATGATTCTTGCATGAAAACAGTGACAATGTCCTGCTCACTGTATCCCAAGCAGCTAGTACAATACCCTTTTCTTACCATAACTTTATATAAAAATGCAACTCACCACCCTGACCCTATCCCTCTTGTTTATTTTATTTTTCTCTATAAGACTTATCACCTGAGCCTGGCCTATGAGCACTGACCATTGGCCTATGAGCCAGGAGGTCACGGTTTAATTTCCTGTCAAGGCACATACCCAGTTTGCAGGCTCGATCCCCAGGAGGAGGCCTGCGGGAGGCAGGCTATCAATCTCTCTCATCACTGATGTTTCTCTCTCTCTCTCTCCCTTCCTCTCTGAAATCCATAAAAATATATTTTTAAAAAATCATCTGACATACTTCAATTTATTATTTTTTTTTGTCTCTGTCATTAGTAGTCTCTATGATGGCAGTAACACTGCTATATCCCAGCACCTAGAAGAGTACTTGTTGAATTAATGAATGGATCAATAGTTATAAACATCAGAAGGTCCTGGCTTACTGATAAATCCTTTGATGCCCAAAGACTCTATTTCCATATAGACCAATAGACGACTGTAAGTTTCCACCAGGGCTGGAGCCAAGGCCACACTGGACTTTGCATGAGCAAGTTTTATCACTCTGGTAGCAATGCTGTGGATAAGGCTGAGGAGAAACAAAAGGAAAGCAAATAAAAATTCCTATTTCTGAAATAAATACAGGAGTTATCTATTGATAGGGAACTTGGTGTAAGTCTGAACTTAAATATATGAAATGAATCAGTCCCACTTTAATCATTTAGGTTGGCAGGACACTGGTGGTGAGTGAGCGCTGTACACTCTAAAACCTATTCTGGTTTCCATGGTGCTTCAATGTGCCTATGTAGTATATGACTATATAGTATTTGAAGTTCGAGCCAATGTGACTATATAGTATTTAAAGTTCGAGCCAATACTTAAGAGCTGAGCATTGAACTATGAACCAGAAGTCATGGTTTGATCCCGTCAGGGTACATGCCTGGGTTGCAGTCTCAATCCCCAGTGAGGACCATGCAGGAGGCAGCTGATCAGTAATTTTCTCTTATCATTGATGTTTCTATGTCTCTCTCCCTCTCCAAAATCAATTAAAAAATACATTAAAAAAAAAATAACCTCAATGTCCAACGATGTGGAACTGGTTAAATAATCATTTAGAGCCAACCTTGGCCAGGTAACTTGGTTGGTTAGAGCATCGCCCTAATATGCCAAGATTGTGGGTTAGATTCCAGTCAGGGCACATATAAGAATCAACTAATGAATGCATAAATAAGTGAAACAACAAACTGATCTCTCTCTCTCTCTCTCTCTGTCAAATCAATCAAATAACAACAACAAAAAATTGTTTAAATTACTTACAGTCATACAAAAGACCTCGCTGTAGCAAAAAAGGTATTTTTGAAGAACACTAAACTTAAAAAGGTGTTTAATGGATTATGGAGGAAAAGAATGATTATTAAATTGTAGTAAGAGCCCATTTTCTTAAAAAAAAATCCATATATTCATTCATTTATATACAAAGAAAAATGACTCAGAATATACACAAACATTTTATAATGCTTATTTTTCACGGAGGGATTATGGTAATTATTTTCTTTGGGTTTATTTATATATTCTACAATAAAAATCCTATAATAAAAAATTATAATTTTATAATAAAAAACCCTAATTATTTTTTTAAAATGTACTTGACCATAAAACACACACATAATCATGAAATCAAGTCAATAGTATACTGATATCAATTACATGACACAGGACCAAGTTAACAGCCCATACCTCATTTTGGCATGAACTGTCAGTGAATCCAGGAGGTTCATTGGTAAGGGAGTAATAGATGCTGAAGCCAAACAGCTCGTTCCAGGAAGAGGTATCCTCATAATTCCATTTCCATAAATAGTTTCTACTAGAGCTCCCATGGGTAATGTAAAACATTCTGAATTTGTAGAGTAGGCATTACACAGCAGGGCAATCTTATAATCATTCATCTGTAAACTTTTATTTCTAAGACTCTGCTGTAGGAACCTAAAATTTCAAGTCCCATTAAAGAGGAAAAAATGCAAATAATTTCCAGGAAGTTAACTTGCACTTTTAGAAGAGTTTAATTTCATGCAATGATTTACTAATACTATATTTATTCTTACAGGTTTTATAGATTCTGCCAAAAACATAATGTAGAAACACATATAAAAGTATAAGTAGCACTTCAGAAAGAATTTAAATAATTATTTGTAAGTATGTATTACAGATATAGCACTAATATTCAGAAAGAAATAATTCATCCATTCATGAACTAGGGTTATATTTATTATCTGCTTAAGCACAATGATTTGCCTTCGTTATAGATGTCACTATGTAAAGATGCTTAAGGGTGTCTCATAAAATGGAAGCTAAATGAAATGTGAAGTGTGACTATCCTATAGTCTCTTATGAAGTTTTTTTTTTAGAAGTTCTGGGTGGGAAGTTCAGCTATTCCTCATACCTCTGACTGAAGCCCCATCTTATCTAAGAAGGACACCTCTGAGTAATCACAGCTTAGGGAATGATGTAAGGGAGCACACCAGACAGACGAGCCCAAGGCCCTGGAAGCCCAGGGAGTGAAAGCCACCTCAGTCAGATCATGATCAAATCCCAAGTACTTAAAAAATTTTGAAACACATTAGCATATTTTTTTAAATTAAGTACTTTAATTAAAGTAAACATATAAAAGTAAAGATTAGGCCTGGTTAAATATATATATATTTATATAATCTTTACACACACACACACACACACACACATACATAATGTAAATAGGATTAATCTTCTAGTTGTTCTCTGATGCAGATATTGGTCAGTTTCTCTTGATGTGACATACACATTAAATGTTTGCCCTTACTGCCAATGAATGTGGCGGGATTTCCATCCATTCTTTACACAAATACTAAGAATAATATTAGTCTATAATCCACCACTTATAAAATAAAAAATTAACTGTTCAGCTACAAATACTTACTCATGGTGAAGGTTTAGGGAATGAGGTATTGGAATCTGTAGTTTGGAGTTGTCATTTTGGGCTTTTCTATTAAGATGAATCCAAATGCAAGTCATTGCAAAGGCATGAGTTGACTGAGGTTTGTTAATATCAGGAACTGGGATACACTAAAAAATATTTTCAGAAAGAAAAATTAACTAATTAAAACTATTTTACTAATCTACTTCTTATATAGCTCTTTTAAAAATATGCTATAGCCCTAGCTGGTTTGGCTCAGTGGATAGAGCATCGGCCTGCAGACTGAAAGGTCCCAGGTTTGATTACGGTCAAGGGCATGTACCTTGGTTGCGGGCATATCCCCAATAGGGGGTGTGCAGGAGGCAGCTGATCGATGTTTTTCTCTCATCAATGTTTCTAACTTTCTATCCCTCTCTCTTCCTCTCTGTAAAAAAATCAATAAAATATATATTTAAAAAAACAACAACACCCAACAAGCTACATAAAACAAAAACAAACTCATAATACAGATAATAGAATATGGTTATTAGAGGAGAAAGGTGGGTGAGAGGGATAAAGAGAGTCAACTATATGGTGATAGATAGAGACTAGATTTTTTTGGGGTGATCGCTTTGTAGTGTATACAGATGCCAAATTATAATATTGTACACTTGAAGCTTATATAATTAAAAAAGAAAAAGAAATGATGAAAATTCCCATAAAATGTTTTAAAAATGGCAATCATAAGTACATAACATATTTTACTCAAATACTTTATGTAATAAAACAATGACAGGGACACACTCAATTAACAAACAAACAAAAGATATTCACAGACACTAATATTATGTGACCATTCAATGATGTGTATAGATAAAAACAGTATAATGCTTTTTAAAACTGTAAGCCTACTTAAAATGTAGGGGGGAAAATTGCTATACTAAATGTTCCATTGTGATTCAAGATAAACTTCAAAAATAATTTCATTCAATTTCTTCATTAGATGTGAGTAGAATAATAAGAGAGACCTAATTTCATCCCATGATTGTGGCTAGTTAGAGAACTGAGGTTAAAAACTCAGATTTTCAGCTTCTAAATCCAGTGCTCTTTTCACAAAACCACACTAAAATCCTTAAGCATAATTTAGACATAATTCACTTACTATATCATTAACCATTTAGTAAAACTTACTTCTTTTTCTGGGTACAGAAGGTCAAAGAGTTTCATGACAGGGAGAAAATCAGCTAGTGCATTTTTCTGAATACTTCCAGAAATAAATTGCAGGAGAACCCACATCAGATGATCTCTGCCTTTGATCAGTCCTCGCCCTGCTAACTGTAAAAGATGGTTAAATATACATCTACACAGCTAAAGAGTTGGATGCAACATTTAAAGAAAAAAACAAAAAGGAGAAACTCTGCTTTCAGAATGTTAGCATCTAACTTTGGCATTTGCTAATTACTTAGTCTCAACTCAAGACACACCAAGGAAAGCCTTTTAAATTATTTTAATATAATATATATCTTTCCTCCCTGACCCCCACTGCAACTATACATATACTTGTTACTATGAAAACACTTTCCCAGTTTTTCTTCTTGGTAAATTTCTATTAGTCCTTTAATGCTGACTAGCTTCAAGATCTCTTTAGTAAAGCCACTCCTGTGTCTTTAATTGGGACTCTTCATTCCCTTTAGGGAAACATTCTTCCACTATGAAAACTATTAAATTATAATCAAATTGTTTATATCTCTATTTTTCCACCAGTAAGGCGCTCATTGAGGGTCCTATAGTGTCTTTTCCTCTTGTACCCCCTGATCTTTGCACTGAAAATATACAGAATGAATTACAAAATCCAGTTTCTATAATGGTAAGAAAGTGAAGTCAAGAAATCACATAAGCACTGAACAAAACCTATGGTAGGAATCAGAACTTCTTCCAGGGCTGAAATCAGGAGACAAATTCCATACCAGTATAAAACATACTAATCAACAGGGGGAAGCACTCTAAAAAGATTTAGTACTAACCTTCTGATGAAGAGAAAGGACCATATGTGGAAAACTTGCAAACTGGAAAAGCACAAAGAAAATGAGCTGACTCGAGAGATGCTGCCACAGGAGTTGGCTTGTTCCCCCATCATCAAACTTCTCCTCAGTCTCGGATCGCTCCATGGCATAGACCACCAGATCCACCAGCTGGTCCTCCAGCACAGGGCAGCGCTGCTTGTGCTGTAGGACAGAGATTAAATACAGTATTCCAAAAGCCTCCTGGTTAGTTTCCCACGTTTCCAGTTAATGGCCATTATTTGTAACAAGAGGCTGAGAAGCATGAAATGAAGTTGAACTTAGAAGGTTAAGGTTAGATTTAGTCTATTAAAGCTGCATGATGTTACATAATCATAGAGGATGAGTACCATAAAACATTTTTTTTTCAGGTCTCATACAAGACAGACTTCTCATTAACTTTTGACTGTCACTAAAGACATCATTATTTCAATTTGACAAAGAGCACTGCAGAGTATAAAATTTTGTTATTTATCCTTTGAAAGAAGTTAATTTAAAAGGTATATGAAATGGGGATAGCAGTATTAATTTCACAATCTAACTCAAATTATGAAAACCCTGGATTTCCAGGAATCAGATATTGTGATAAGAAAGCCAAGAAGTGTGTGAATTTATTTTAAAGTAAGCACCACAAGTTTACTCTAACTTTAGATGCAGAGGTATACATAAAGAGCTGCCCGTCTACTCAATACTTTTCAATGTGTGTCACTAATTCTGATACTGAAATGGAAACTTCCTTTTAAAAAAACTGGTCTCAAAGTTCATCTCTGCTCTTTTATAAGTCAAACATAATGCAGCTTTAATTGTAAATTAGACTATTTTAAATTCTAAAACAAGAAAAAGAACTGAGTTTAAACACTAAAAATGAAAATGCAACTTCCCTTTCTAGAGGCAAAATGATTTATAATTTTTAAAGTGATTTAAAAAAATATATATTTTTACCAAAAGATATATGTAAAGCCATACTTTCTACATTTTCATGTTTCCTTTATAAAATATATAATAAGGCTTAATAGCCAGGCAGTTAGATGCCTTTCTAGTGAATACAATTACTAATATACATGCTTTCCTTCTAAACTTTAGATGTAATTGTTCATCTTTTGCCATGAAAAAGGGATATGACTTCTTTAAATTTAGTGGGGGTGGGGGGGGGAATGCAAAATGGGGATGAATTTGGAAAAAAACAAAACATAATGAACAGCATCCCCTCTTTTGCATGCTCTTTGCCAGCTCCAAACTTGTAAAGCTCCAAGATAGCTATACTTTCTTAAAGCATGCAAGTAAAACAAACGTCTCTCCAAAACAGTAAGCATCGATGGTTGTTTCGTCTTTTTTTCCCCGAAAACACAATGCCATGTTCACAGTTCAACCACGTTACAGTTTTACAAAGAGCAATAGTAACACCACCGGTTGGGACTACAGTACTTTTCCTCCAAATGTAATTGTCATTATGAAGCAGAGCAAAGTGCAACGGACAACACTACAAACTATTTCTTAAACCAGCATGCAAAACTACTGTGTACAGGGCTTGAAATTCACTAGTTCTGCCAACCACCAACAACCTAAGAAATGTGTCAGACAACACAAATTTAGAGTGAGGTCATTCAAAGTAAGAGTCAGAAAAATTTGTGAAAAGAAGTAAAGCCATTATTTCCAGTAGGAATTTTTCATTAGTGGTGGGAATTTGCTTCTAGTTTAGAAACTAACCAATGTGTCACCTATTCCTCCATCCATGATGGTCTTTCATCAATCTGCTTTAGGAAAAAAGAGAAAACTAAATAAAATTGGTTTTAGCATCTGAGTCATTTAGGAGTTGACCTTTTTAATATTAGCTATTTGTTTTTTTTAAAAAAACACAACTGGATTTTTACCTATATATTTTAGGGGTGTAGTGATGGTCATACAGTTAATGATTTAAGGAGAAAAACCAAAAATATTAAGATTTTGACAAAGAAGGAAATTTAGTTAAAGTTGACGTTTTTTCCATATAAACCATGACTCAAGATGAGATCCAAATTTTCTGTAAAGAATTAAATCACTCAGGAATCTCTATGAAGCTTAACTCCCCTGGTGATGAGGATGGCAGGATTAACTCTATATTTCCCAGGTATGTTTTATTAAAGCCAAGGATATTTCTCAAACCAATTTTAGGGATAGCTTAAATATGTTTGTTTACTTGCCAATTTTAATAATGCAAAAAATAAAATAAAAATCCGTACTACTATTTTAAAATAATAAGTTTGGCTTTTGTTTTCAATTACTAAGTTAAGTACTCTAAAATTAAGACTTTCCATCACACAGGTTGATTATTTCATTTAACAAATGAAAATTTGCAAAGCAGTTAAATAATTTGTAAATGAAGGTTAATTATCCATCACTAGGCTATGATAATTCTGTAAGCCAATGGACACTATGTGTATGGTTACTCATAACTTGTTTCCTGAAAACTTTTATAAATTTAAGTCTTCATTATACAAGCATATAAACTGAATTAGTTTACATCATTTCTATATGCATGTTTTAACCTCTTTTAACAATATGAATCTAAATTCAATATTTTAACAATTCACATTCTGCATAATGGCTCAAACTATATTGGAACATTTTAAATTTTCTGCTTTTATTAAAAAGCTTAAGCATTGAGAAACATTAATAGTAACCTCTACCCATGCTCGCGATTCTTTCCCATCATGACTACAAGTGGCAAATGATAAGGCTTTTTTCAGTCTTAGTAAACATACTTTAGCTAAGTAATCTCTAACACGTGTATATAACAGTTCTGGTAGAGCTTTTGTGGTGAAATTTTAACATGTACTTAGGTGGACTTAATTAATTTTAAATAATTATTTCAGTGCTAGAAAACAAATTTTACTTAATCCTCACGCCATATTTTTTTCCATTGATTTTCAGAGTGGAGAGAGAGAGAGAGAGAGAGAGAGAGAGAGAGAGAGAGAGAGAGAGAGAGAGAGAGAAACATGGATGTAGAGAGACATCAATTGGTTGCCTCCTGCATGTGCCCCTATTGGGGCCGGGTTTTAACCTGCAACCCAGATACCTGCCCTTGACTGGAATAGAACCCATGACCGTTCCATGCGCAGACCGATGCTCTAACCAGTGAGCAATGCTGGCTAGAGATAGAAAACAATTTTAAAGGAATACCTATTCAGGACCAGCTGGGGAAAAATATCCCTTTGTATGTCATTTTATTATATTCTCTGCCAATAAGAACAGGAGCGCTGTGCCAGTTCATACAACTTGAATGGTGACTTTCAAAGATAAACAGTGATGAGTCTAGGACTTTACTGTCTCAGGGTAGCCAGAGTTCATACATCACCACGCAAGAACTTGAGTAGCATATGGTTTGTAATGCTCTTATTCAGTAGAAAGAACACAAACTCGTGTATACACGCGAAACAGTATCCTTTCACTGTGAACACTCCACTTTGCTGGTCACAGAACTGGGCTATTTATGACCTTCTAAATGTGACCAATTTTAAGATAAAAGATAGCCCAATTCCTACTGGAAAATTCCATATCGACAGCTCTTTAAAGGTTTCAAGCTTTCATTAATTACTGCATTGCTAGAGAAAGGACAAGAAAGTACAGTGCAGGATATAATTTTGTAATGATAAAAGACGTGATGACTTATTTTTAACCATATGCTTCTTATACTGTGTGTTCTCATTTTCTTTATTTTCCAGATGGTGAAAATAACATATCAAGTCAATTCAGCATATAGCTTCCATCTACAAGTTCACTCACTACAGTTTTCTACAAAACAACTACTGATATGAATTGTAAAGTTTTGACAATGTTTACACTTCAGTGGGACCAGTAATAATGATGTTCTGTCAGCATTTCCATTATAAACTTTATTTTTTATGGATTTATGTCTTAGTCATAAACTTTTTTTAGGTTGAAACTTGTTATTAAAATGATGGGATCAGAGATACTCTTCTTTGAGTTGTTTTGCCAATTTTTGGTTTGAGAAGAGCTGTGCCCCCAAAAGACAGCAGCTAATGACAGCTAAGGCTCTCTGGGGGAGGGTACTTGCAGCTCAAGTGACCACTGGTATATTTATCCACCAACTCAAATATTGAGTTGTTGGATTTAAAGTTCATTGCAAAAATGAGCTTTAAGAAGCAGTATAAAGCATTCTTTCAAAGTTAATTCAATACTTACCTCTAACTCAAGTGAAAGTTGGTCAGAATTAATGACTGTGTATTTAAGGTGTTAAATTGACAAATTGATTATATGAGGTAACTTTCATATACTGTGAAGCAGTTTCACTTTTCACATGTACAGAGGCTCATCCAAACAAGGAAACTTGGTAAATTTTTCAGAAGAAAAAACTTAAAATAATGAGATACTGCTACCAGGGTGAGGTTTGGCATGCAAAGTTTCAACACTGAGCAAGTTTTATGGCCAAGCTATATGTCCTTAAAAATAGGGCTTTATAAATGGAAGCACTGGCACAACCTTCACTATAGTATTGCAAACAGTAACGCTAGTTTTTATAACCTAGACAAGAACGTCTTTTTAAAAGAAAAAAGCTGGTCTATTTTAACATGTTGGGCTCAAAAATTCTTAACAAAAATAATTGGAACAGCTATTTTGCTTAAAATCTCCAAGGTGAAAAGTCCAGGAACAGAGTTGGGACTGTAGAAGAATTTGATTTATAAAGTTTGGCCATAGTGTCCTTTTCTGCCATAGGTGAGCTTCTGCTGGGAGGAGCTCACTCTAGGAGGACACATCCGGCAAAGACTGACCAAGAAGGGTGCTTGTCAGGCAGGTGTGGAGTCACCTAAGAAAGCGACATTTCTTAGTCAATCCCCGTGTTTCCAAAAAAAGCCTTCTCTGTGTAAGGTTTACCACTCCAACTTTTAAAAGTAGCATATCTCTATTAAAGTGCTTTTTCTCTTCTTTGTTTTGTTTTTAATTTTTTTTTTTAAGCCAAAGCAACGTAAGTAATTTTATTGGTGTTGTTATTTATTTATGTTTTAAAAGTCTGGAAAGATAAAGGCCACCACAAATCTTTCCATCTCTAAAAATGCCACCAGGCTCACGTCAGTCCTAAAGCATGAAAAACAGTAAAATGGAGTGGGGAGAAAAACAACCCATCAAAAAAGTGAAAGGCTTTATGGTGTGCCAGGTGTTGTCTCTTTGTTAAAAAGAAAAAAAGAAGAAGAAGAAAAACCAAAACAGCAAAAACCAAAACCAAAAACAATCCACCAAAAACAACTCTCATATCCCAAGAAGAATTTGTTCTGGTGGCCTTGGTCTTAGCATGGTCCTGCCAATTTCAAGCCCCGACCATACATGAATTCTCTAAACGGAATCAGTGGCTACAAAGCGGCCAGCGTATCGTTAGTCACAATACAACAGTAAGGTTGTGAACATACCTGAGCAATGTTCAAGGTCTAGAGCATTGGAGGATGGGCAGGACAAGACAGGACAGAACAAAAATAAAGGAAGAAAAAAAGAAAAGACAAAACAGTGACTATGAGGCCAGCCTCAAGGAACCGAGTCAGCACAAACCCTCCCACATGTTAAACCACCAAAAATATATCACCCCCCTCAAAAAAAACAACAAAAAAAAAAACTACCAAAAAGTCAGCAATGAGGTCATGCTGAAGATATGATGGGTTATAAGGACACCCAAACGACAACAAAAATAAAAAAAAATTAGGGTTAAGTCATGTGTAGGTTTCTCTGGCAAAAGGTATACTTGAAACTGGCCTTATAGAAAAAAAAGCAATGCAAAATAAACCAACTTTCAAAATATCTTCTTTTTAATTTAAACATTCTGAAAGCAATATATATATATATGATAGAAACAAGACATTGTTTAATAATTCATGTATTTTTTTAAAATCACCAAATAATTTTTAACTGTTTTGCTCAGTTAGCTATAGCAAAGAAAAGAGAAAAGAATAGCGCAGATTCTACACAGAATTTACTAGGTTTCCATCACAGTACAGTACCTGCTTATTTAAACCTAGCATATTGCAGACCATATCCCTGGAATAAGGCTGCTCCAATACATATCTCAACAAAGCAGTCTGTGGTTCAAACAGATCCTTTAAAGAAAATAAAAAACAATTATTGCTTCAAGATCAAAGTAAATTCAAATAATTTGAGATTGGGACCAAAAAATCCTTTAGAGGCACTTGTTAACTGCACACTGTAGGCAGTATCTAGTAAAAAAATAAATAAAAATCATACAATTTTAGTGTTCGTCGAAATTAATCTATTCCATCCCTCATTTGGGTAAGTGATGACTTCGGCAGAGGGACTTGCCCAAAAAATGACTTCAGTTGTAAGGAAAGGATTTCCTGCTCAGAAATCTAATCAAAGAGAAGCGGAGGCAGGTCCAATCACCTCACACAAGTGAAAACAAACACTATTTTCACATCTGGAGATGACAAATGACTTGATAGCACAGGGTTTAAGAGTGTAGGTTCTAGCATCATACTGCCTGAGTTCAAATTCTGTTTCTACCACTTCCTAAACACGGGCCTTAGTCAAGTTACTACCCACTTTGTGTCTCAGTTGCAACATCTGTACAATGGAGATATTAAGATGATAGTTAAAAATAAGAATTTCACAAAGTAACGTTTTTAGAACACTGTCTGGCACACAATAAATTTATCTGTTTTTGTTATTATTGCTATCATGATGACAATGAAAGTAAATTCCATTGAGTTTATCACACTTTCACATTCCAAAAATTTCTGACTAATATGCCAAGACCTCAGGTTGTCACCTTACATTCACTATTTAGCCCTCCTCACTTTTGAACAATCTTGCTACTTACTCTACATATCACTTTTGACATAAAACATGTACATAAAAAATATCCAGTCCTCCCCATACCCTGCTCTGTTATCAATCCAACACCCAAAATAATATAATGATCTATCAAATCTCATTATGGAAGTATGTTTTTACCTCGTTCATTTCATTAATATTTGTGGATTTTTTCCCCTTTGTTTTCCATTCCTCTTGTGTCCCATTTCCCCTTTTTAAAAATCTAACAAATATGAGGCTCACTTTTCAAATTTTAAGGGCATTGGAAATTCATTTTTGGTCTTCCCTTTGTGAAGAAGGAATGAAAGCAAATAATCAACTGAAAGTCAGTTTCTAATTCTAAGTACTTTGGCAGAGGTGGACCACTGGAGCCTAAACACCTGAAATATCCCAAACCAGAGTATATGGGAACATACATTAAACACACACTATCTTTCACTGAGTATTTACTACTTCAGCCCTGGCTGAGTGGCTCAGTTGTTTGGAGCATTGTCCCAATACACCACGGTTGTCTGTTTGGTCCCCAGTCAGACCAACTGAATGGGGAATCAACCAATGGATGCACAAATAAGTGGAACAACAAATCAATGTCTGTCTGTCTCTAAAAAAAATAAATAAATAAAATAAAAATTAAAAAAGTAATTATTTACTTCACTATTATGAAGAGATAAAGAGATGACAATTTAGCATCACACATATATTATAGGATGAAGGCTGTTAGGCTGATAGTTCCATTATGTTTAACAACATACCTTATCATATGGCAGAAGGCCTTTCAAAGGAAAACGAAGAGTTGTAGGATCCAATTTCCATGAATTACACATGGCGCCTGAGTTATTTACAACTGGCAGAAGGCTGCAACGGCCTGTATGTATTACAAAATATGTTTTTAAATAATTGTTAACACAATATTGGCCCTTCATTCACTTTTTGAATATTTAATGAACATCTATGCTGAATCAGATGCTGGTTTAAAAAAAATGTTTGAATTAGATAAAAATTTAGAAAATGTTTTATTTTTAGTCCAGATGGCTGGAGACCAATATGTAAGATTGTGAACATATTGTGGGCCTGAAGGTATCCACAAAGTCTGATACCAATCTGTACAGGCCTTCCAAACTCAAACATGTTGCATTTGTCCAAGTATCTAGGACAGAGGTCAGCAAACTATAATCCATGGTCAATTCTAGCTTGCTACCAATTTTTGTGAAGTTTAGTTAATTGCACTTCCTATGAGCCCGGTGCTATTCTGCAGACTGAAATACAAAAAATAAACTAAATAAATGGGTTCACTGCTGCTTTTGCTGCCACGACAGAACTGAGTAGCTAGCTGCAACAGTTTGAACAGCCCACAGAACCCAAAATATTCACTGTATCACCATTTATAGAAAAAAACTGCAGACCTGACTAGTATAGGGTCAACATGATTGACTACAAGCATGATGTTCCTAGAGGCCTTAGCTGTAGCATATGACTACTAGCACATATATCTAACTGCCTGATGAATCCTGCCACTTGGGTGGCTCATGGGTACAGCAAGTTCAACAAGTATTAAATTGCACTCATCATCATCATCCTTCTCAAACACGCATTATTTCAATAATTCATTAAATTATATCAATATCCACTCAGTTACAAGAGCTAGAAGCCTGAGAATTATCTGTCTGGTGTTTACTTAGTTTATTTTTGAATTTCAGTCTGCAGAAAAGCCCTGGCTCATAGGAAGTGCTATTGGCTAAACAATGGTCTATATTCCCAGACAGTTTCGAGGCCAGCATGATGTCTAGAAACAATTCAGGAATATATATGCGCACTGCAATCACTGCCAAATCACATGCTTATTTTTAAAAGAAAACTCTTTTAAATAAAAATTTATTTTTAACACAACATGAAAAAATGGAAAATAAGTGAAATAGAGAGCAAAGGTGTGAACTGAAATGGGCTTAAAGAGCCTGGTAGCTTTGTGTATTGTGGACACGGAGGGACAGGTCCGTAAGGATACTCAATTGTGTAGAGACTCCATGCTTTACTAGCTCTATTCAAAATTCCCTCTAAGCACCACGATATACATCTAGGATGGTTCTGTTTGAAGCTTAAACCCCATCCAGACATGTGCTTTTCCCTCCTTTCATTCAGCACATAAAGTACTTGAAAACAAGTCAAAGGATTTGAAGCTCCTAGAGAGTTACCAAGACATGTGTAAGACACTGTCATCTTTGTTCCATGGTCAGATCATTCCAAATCACACACTGTTTAGTATATTTTAAATTACAATCCTACCACAAATGGAGTTTATCCTTGCTGTGGGCCTGAAGGTATCCACAAAGTCTGACACTAGGTTTCCAAGTAACTAAAAACAAAACGAAAAACAAGCAAGTATAAAAATAAAATCAAGACTGCTCTGAATATAATGATCATTTATATAAAATGAGATAATAAGTAAAGATTTAGTATAAAGCCTAGCACATTGGAATTATTCAAAGGTTGGTGTTCTTTTGCTTCTTTCTAAACAATTACCAGTTTCTCGGCCTCTTAATTAGGCCAAATGGTATCACAATGTCCTTAGCTATTTGATAAAGCTATGAATATTTTATCACGTGATATATAAACTGTGACAACAGGACAGCAGAGAAATGCAATAGAAAATAATGATAGCCCAGCCAGTGTGGCACAGTGGGCTATCAACCCACTGAGCATTGAACTATGCACCTGGAGGTCATGGTTCAATTCTGGTCAGGGTAGGTGCCTGGGTTTCTAGCTCTAATCTCAGTAAGGGGCATGCAGGAGGCAGCCAGTCAATGATTCTTTCTCATCAATGATATTTCTGTCTCTCTCTCCCTCTCCCTTCCTCATTGAATCAATAAAAATATATTTTAAAAAATATATATTGATAAAGAAGACATAGCACCTAAGGATAAAATTAAGCATTTTAAAAATAAGCACACAAAAAATAAGATTAACCTATTTTTTATAAAAAATGTTATTAAAAACTTTGGGAAATATCCAATTTACCCAATGTGGAAGTTTTCCCTCAGGATACAGTTTTCTGATCTCTGTGACTGCAAAATACGCTGGTAACAAACAGGCATTTCTTTCCAAGATATATGCTATCACCTGAGGAAAAGAAAAGGGCAACATTGTTATTCTTGACTAGTCCTACAGATGAGCCTTTTAAATGCAACAATAACAATATGTTAAAAAGTAGACAGATTACTTCAGTAATTTATTAGGTTTAAACTATAGCACAAAGGAGTTCACTTACAGGTGAAGAATCTCTAAAAATGAAGATTAATAAACAATGGAACAACTGTTGATGGTTAGTAAATAACATGAAAATGCTTTAAACATTATCAGACTCCAATAGGAGAGCAAGAGACCAACGTAACAATACTTGCAAAAAGCACAATGGTCTTTAATATGGTCCACAGTCTGACATCTTACAATTGTTGGAAGGACTTTAACATCTACATTATTACTTTTTATAATTAAAAACCATGAAAAGTAAAACAGCATCCTTAAAACTCAAAGTGATTTTGGAGCATGCTCCCAAGAGGCATGCATCTCCTAAAGTCTAAGGGTCCCCAGGAGACTTCCACGCAGGAGAGCAATGGGCAATAGCTAACATCATCCCACCCCTGAACCTGTCTCCACGGACCCTTTTCTCTGACTTTCCAATGAGCCAAAGCAGCCCCACCGAGACTCTATCCGGTCACTCCTTCTAGCCTAAGCCCTTCCTTGTTTCACTGTTCCCAGCTTTAATACATGTACTTTAAAACAAAAAAGTGACTTTTGTAGAAGTAAACCAATGGAACATGCCACAAATTACCATGAGTTTTAAAAGCCCAGAACTGCACATAACAATTTTTTGAGGCTATGATCAAGGTTTAAATTACCTCTCTTGCTGTTAGAAGCTGTTGTACAACAGCTGAGCTCACTGTATTGGGAATTGTCAAGATTTTCTCCAAAATCACTTTTAAGAGATCTCGAACACCCTGACATAAGAAAAAAAGTCATAGGTTAAAATTAAGTAATGTCTCACTGTGCTAAACTTCTAAAGGTTTCAATATTACACACTCAGGAAAAAAGTTCCCTTCCAAACCACATCTCAATTATTCTAAACGAGAGTTAATATTCAAGTCTCCAGTTGGTCCGAAGGTTGTGGGTTATTGTTAAGCTAATATTCAAGTCCCTAACATTAACCCAGGGGATGTCATGTTCCCAAACAGAATTCTAAAGAATACCTGGTCATATCAATGAACAAAGAAAGTTACTAATAAATAAAAATTAAACTTTCCATGCTCTGCTTAACTTTTTTGACCTTCAGAACACAAGTTTGTTGTCAAAAAAGCTTGATTTGGGTTTACAGACAGAAATATATTTGAATGGAACTTGAAAATAATCTGCAAATATGAAGAAAAATGTTAAACTTTCTGGCAGATGACCTTTTCTGCTCACTCCCTTTGGCATCTCTAACCTTATTCTCCACTTTTACTTATCACATACCTTAACCCTTCAAATTTACCCAACAAGGCTATTCTGTTAACTATTCATCCCCTTATACTATTACAAGTTGCATTATTTCAGAGCAGAATATGATACATAGAGAAGAAATTTCATTCAATGTGCATTTATTGAATATAAACTATGTGGTGAATCTTGTAAAAAAAAGATAGAGAAAACATATACATAAGAGAAATTAGAAACAATTATAAAGCATCATATAAATAAAAAGTAAAACTGCACATTAACCTGCTAGGGAAACTGAAATAAGTAGAAAAATAATCAGAAAAAAACTTCTTAGAATGAAATTTGTATTAAATCATAATTCAAATTAAATAATTATCAACTAACTCATTTTAGATGACAGGAAATACAGAAATAAAACACAGGGTCAGGTATTGATAATTCTTTTAAATATATTTTTATTGATTTCAGAGAGGAAAGGAGAGGGAGATAGAAACATACATAAGAGAGAATCATGGGTCGGCTGCCTCCTGCAAGTCCCCCACTGGGGATCGAGCCCACAACCCAGGCATGTGCCCTTGACTGGAACTGAACCTGGGACCCTTCAGTTTGCAGGCTGATGCTCTATCCATTGAGCCAAACTCGCTAGAGCGATAATGTTTTTCAAAAATAAAAATAATAGCCTTGGCCGATGTGCATCGGCCAGCAAACCAAAGGATCTTGGCTTCAATTCCCCCATTAAGGGAACATATCTGGGCTGCAAGGTTTTATTCCTGCCCCATTCAGGGTGGCAGGAGGCAACCAATCAATGTCTCCTGTCCTTTCTTCTCCTTCCCTTCCTTCTCCCTCCCTTTCTTCCTTCCACTCTAAAAAAACAAACAGCCAAAACTGGTTTGGCTCAGTGGTAGAGCGTTGGTCTGTGGACTAAAAGATCCCAGGTTTGATTCCGGTCAAGGGTATGTACATTGGTTGCGGGCATATCCCCGGTGGGGGGTGTGCAAGAGGCAGCTGGTCAATGTTTCTCTCTCATCGACGTTTCTAGCTCTCTATCTCTCTCTTCCTCTCTGTAAAAAATCAATAAAATATATTTAAAAAATAAAAAAATAAAAAATAAAACAAACAAAAAAACCCACACAAAACAAACAAAAAACACAAAAAAAAACCAAAAACTAAAAGTAAAAAAAAAAAAAAAATCAATGGGAAAAATAACCTTGGGTGAGAATTAATAAGTAAATAAAAAGTAAATGAAATATTGTGTTCCTCCTCACTAGCATGGTAAAGAATTTAAAAAAATAAAATAAAAACAAACATGGCTTGAATGAAGCAGAATGGCTTTTGCTGCTATTGAAATACTGCAATATGAGACACAATTAGAAAGGATATGCTATAGTTTTGGGTAAGAGCAGAGCGCTAAAGATACTAATGGAGAAAGGACACCTGTGCAGGGAAGGTCCAGGTAACGGTGAAGTAGGGCTTGCTCCCTCCATCATTTGATGTCTACATCCCTTCCCAGCTCCACACACCCCTCTGTGCTTTTATTTGAAAAGGGCCCAACATCGTAAGATGTGTGGCATGAGGAAACCCAAAGTCTGCTCGGCAACTTCCTGACTCATCATAAAAACATATAAGCCACCTGCACTTCCATGTTGGGGAGTGAGCAGGGAGCTGAGGGAAACATTTTAAATCCATTTAGGAAATAAGCAACACAAAACAGATTTTGTAAATGCTTCCACTTAATTTCTCCCACCTGAAATTAAGATGTCTACAACTGAAAAATTAATCTTGCCTGACAGCGGTTACTTTTTATAATTAGTAAAAAAAAAATAATGTAACAATAATACCTTATAATCCACTCCACCAATTATTTTCCGAACCAGTTTAAAAGTTAGGGCCCAAAGTTGTGTTCTTTCCCATTCAAGAGTATCAGTGTTTATCAGGGATTCACACACCATCCTAGAAAGAAACCAACAACATTCCAATTATAAGACAGAATTTTACAAGTTCTCTAGCAGCCAAGGTCTGTATATTCTGGCTGTAGTTATTTTTCATAAAACCACATTATTACTCAAGCACACTTTTTAAAAGTATGTATAGTATTTTATATATTTTACTTGTATGTAAGAATAAACACAAAGTACTAGTAGAACTAAACAGTACTCAATATTTTTACTAGAAAGAAATCTAAAGATAGATGGTTAAATGTTTACCATCTATCAGCTTGCAGCAGATTGTATTTTTCCAAGATGGCTGCAACAAGATTTTTGATCCTTATGTTCTTCTGAATTGTGAACTGATATTCTGCCTGGAAGAGGGTGGAGGAGAGTCTACCGTCTCTTCGCTTAAATCTGGACAGGCCTCAGACCATGGCAAAAGGATTCTGTGTGACTTCCAAAGCAAGACGAGACAGCTTTGGCCTGGCCCTCTTTGGAAAACTTGCTCTTGGAGTCCACCATGCTTTGGGCAAGTCCAGGTCACACAGAGAGGGCATGGGCAGGCTCCAGCCAACAGACCCAACTGAGGTCCCAGATAATGGCCCGGCATCAATCACCAGACATAGGAATGGAGAAGCCTTTGTCATGACTCGTCCTAGCTACCGTCTGACTGTAACAATGAGACCCTGAGGAAACACTGTCTCGTAAGCTCAGTCAGCCACCATTACTAATAAGTGTTACTAATAAAATGATTATTACTGTTTTAGAGGATGGTGTTTAAGTGCAACAAATGTTTACTAGAACAAGCTCGTTCAAGAGAGTGATGTAGCTCTTGAGCTGAAAGGCACAGCCAGTCTGTTTTTGAGCCTCTAACTAAACAATTCTAAGAATACTGTACCCCAGCCCTGGCTGGGTAGCTCAGTTTGCTAGAGCATCATCCCACTATGCCAAGGTTGCTACTTTGATCCCCGGTCAGGATACATACAAGAATCAACTAATGAATGCATAAATAAGTGGAACATCACATTGATGTGTTTTCCTCTCTCTCTCTCTCTCTCTCTCTCTCTCTCTCTCTCTCTCTCTCTAAAAAAATAAAATAAAATAAATTAATCAATAATTTTTTTGAAAAAAGAATACTGTATACTAGCAAAACCTGAGGTATTATGAAGAACTGGTTGTTTTTGTTCTTTTTAATTGTTATTTATTGATTTTAGAGAGAGGAAGGGAGAGAGAATGGGAGAAACATCAATTTGTTGTTCCACTTATTTATGTATTCACTGGTTGATTGTTATATGTGCCCTGATGGGAGATTCAACCCACAACCCTGGCACAGCGGGACAATGCTCTAACCAACTGAGCTACTCAGCCAGGGTTTAAGGATTGCTTATTGAACCTAACTTCCTTCTTCATTTCCTTAACCTTTTACAACAATCTCGATCAATTTCCAAACATTATTAAAAAAATAATAATAATTCTTTGGATTGCTTACATTCACCAGTAAACATACCTGGGTGGAAGGAGACCAGTCTCAACTGCCATTGCTAAGCAGTCATAAAGAAAAGAAATTCTTTTAGGACTATGCTGGCCATGAATGAATTTAACAATCCACTGGATGCACTGTAAATGAGATTCCTGGAAAATTAAAAAAATGATTATATTTTAAGTCTAAAGTCATATCTTATAACTAACAAACAGCTAATACGACACACCTGGGAGTTCTGTGTATCAAGACTATGAATGAGATACTCTACTATAAACATTCATTGATAAAGACAATAAAAAAAATAATTCAGGCTTAGCACTTCAATTATATTAGTATTAAGCATAAAACCGTACAATTATAAACATTAAAATTCCCACCATTTTTATTTCATGGGACCTCTAAAAGGAGTAAGATATCATTAACATATTTGTGGTCAATAGAAAACTAACACAGCCGAAACCGGTTTGGCTCAGTGGATAGAGCGTCGGCCTGCGGACTGAAAGGTCCCGGGGTCAATTCCAGTCCAGGGCATGTACCTTGGTTGCCGGCACATCCCCAGAAGGGGGTATGCAAGAGGCAGCTGATCGATGATTCTCTCTCATTGATGTTTCTAATTCTCTATCCCTCTCTCCTCCTCTCAGTAAACAATCAATAAAATATATTTAAAAAAAAGAAAACTCTAACACAGATAATAAGCAGTAACCTATTTAATGGCAAATAGAAATATTCCTGTCATGAGGGGGGGTGGTGTTCTTTATAGGTTAATATATCAGCCTCATGAAATTTAGTGTAAGTCTAATCCCTATGAGCCAAAAAAATGAATCCAATGACATAGCAAATTTCTGGAATTCTATAGCTTTAAATCAGATACAGAAATGCAGTGCCATATAAGTCTGTCTTCTAAGATGTCCTCAAGAATCGCCTATGTCCTGTTCCTCTGCACTACCACTGTCCTGCATCCATACTTCTGTTGTTGAACATATCATGCTGACTTAGAAATATCTATTTTCTTCCTGGCTCCCCGTACAATATAATCTTCTTGAAGACTAGGGCCATACCTTAACCTCATACAAATAAACGTACCCTCTGACCCAGCATTAGTACTTCCAAGAATTTGTCCTGTGTCTGTAAATAGTATTATTCATTTTGCATCGTTTAAGGTAGGAAAGATAAGAAGCAACTTCAATGTCAGTTAGCAGAAGACTGGTTAAATAAAGGAAGGTACAGCCAGAACATATAATATTATGCTCCAAGAAAGGAGGGCAGAAAATTTAACTTTTAGTGGATTGCTGTAGAATTACTCGCTTAAGCAGAATTTATAAGGGGGGGTGGGGGGGGGGAAGCAAGGTGGGAATGAACAGTGCACATAGTATATGGCCATTCTGTAAAAATAATTCTATATGCACTACACTTCTAGAAGGAAACATAAACTGAGCATACTGGTTGCAGAGAGAACACTTTAAAAAAATAAATGTATTGCCACTATGTGATCCATGTCTGAGTAGCAAGTCTTGCCACCAGCACCTCAACTGCAAACATTTCCCTACCTATAAGGAACCATGAGAAGAAAAGGCACTACTGGAACATACTCTTAAAGGACCACATAGCCAAAACTGGTTTGTATCATCGGTCTGCGGACTGAAAGGTCCCGGGTTCGATTCCAGTCAAGGGCATGTACGTTGGTTGCGGGCACGTTCCTTGGTTGCGGGCACATCCCCAGTAGGGGGGTGTGCAGGAGGCAACTGGTCAATGTTTCTCTCTCATCGACATTTCTGGCTATCTCTCTCCCTTCCTCTCTGTAAAAAATCAATAAAATATATTAAAAAAAGAAGAAAATATGTGTTGCTTACTTTATAAAAAAAAAAAAAAAGGACCACATAGTTTGCCTTTTTCAAGGATACATTTCCTGGTGACTGTTCTTTGTCACTAAGTGTTACTACTCTTTTCCTCACTTTTATTTTTTGAAAATATATCTTTATTGATTTCAGAGAGGAAGGGACAGGGAAAGAGAGAGAGAAACATCAATGACGGGAGAGAATCATTGATCGGCTGCCTCCTGCACGTCCCTACTGATGATCAAGACTGCAACCCAGGCATGTGCCGTTGACCGGAATCGAATCCAGGACCCTTCAGTCCACAAGCTGACGCCCTATCCACTGAGCCAAACCAGCTAGGGCTCTTCACTTTTCTTATAGCTTTATATCCTTACTAGTGGCCCGGTGCACAAAAATCGTGCATGGGGAAGGGGGTGTCCCTCAGCCTGGCCTGAACCCTCTCCAATCTGAGACCCCTCCGGGGATGTCTGACTGGCAGACATCCGTCTCGTAATCCATCACCACTGGCTCCTAACTGCTCGCCTGCATGCCTGCCTGATTGCCCCTAACCACTCTGCCTACCAGCCTTCTCACCCTCAACTGCCCTCTCTTGCCAGACTGATCGCCCCCAACCATCCCCCCCACCAGCCTGCTTGCCCCCAACTGTCATCCGTGTCCCCCCGCCACCGCCTGCCTGCTTGCCCCCAACTGCCCCCCGCCTGGTAGCCTGCTTGCCCCCAACCTCTCTCCCCTCCGGGCCTGATTGTCCCAAACCGCCTCTGCCTTGGCCCTGCCACCATGGGTTCGTTCGAAAGGACGTCCAGAAGGTTTCCCGGGAGCATATTACCCTTTTATTAGTACAGAAGATTATAAAAGCAGGCATCCTTACTGTGGCATTTCTGTATCTTTAATATAGTAGTAGCTTCATTAAACTGTACCAATTCTTTTGAGAAAATGAATGAAAATTTTATTCTTTATAATCCCTAAGACAGCTGTTTTCAAAGGCACCAAATAAATCAGAATAGGGTGAAAATGGTGTTACATAGTCTAACACGGGGTAGATTTTTAACATCTGTGCTATCAACTTGGCTTCTCAATATACAGCTTCTCCACTGGAAGAATGCAAACTGGATCGAATGGAAACAAGAAAGAACAAATAAAAGCTGATGACAATGTTATATCTCCCTTCCCGGAAACACTCTAACAGCAACAACAAAGTAAATTTTTTTAAAAAAGAAGGGGTCTAAAACCATCAGCTGTCTGTATAAAAAATGCGGTACTCACCAGAGGAAGGCCACCCCAAAACTGTCGGAAGGCCCCCAAACAGCTAATGAGTTTCGTTTTCTCATCTTCAGGCGTGTCCATAAACATTCTAGAAACAAAAACCGCATCACTGACCACCAGTTTGAAAAAGGTAACTCAACTGAGCCTAAGAATGGAGTTGATTGGAAAGATACAGTGTATATTAATAATGTGTATGGCGTTCAAAGGATGGTAAACATTGTTAATTTCATTGTTAATGGATGTTTTCAATTAAATTTAAGTTTGCGTTTTAAAAAAAGAAAAAGGTAACTCAACCTATAAAATAATTCCACTAGAACAGTGGATCTTATAAATCTCCACGGCGAAAACTACTATGCAAAATCTTACAAAGATGTCGTCACATAGAAACACAAAAACCTGCCACGCCGGTACGCACCCAGGGAAAGCCTCTTCTATAATCTCCGTTTTCTGTAAAACAAACATATGAATTACATTTTTTAAAAGAATGAAAAAGCGGGGCCCCCTGGAGGAAACGATCCCCGGGGGAGCCAGGGCCAGTCCTCCCCAGCAGCCCCTGGCAGAGCTCCCAGCCCCTGGGGCCCCCGGCAGAGGACGGCGCGGCGAGGCTGCGGGGGCCGGTGCCGGGCTCCCCCTCAGCCTCACCCCCGGGGCCCCGCCATCGTCCCGGACGCCGGGCCCTCGCACTCACCACCACCTCCTCAAAAATGCTCTGGAGCTGCGTCTCCATCTGCACCATCGCCCGCCTCCCCCGGGCGCCCGGCCCGCGGCCCGGGAAGCGGCCCGAGCTCCGGCCACGGACCCGCGCAGGGGCGGGGGCGCCGCGGGGATCGGCGCGGGGACAGGGTCGCTTCCCGCTCCCGCGCTCGGCGGAGTCCCCCTGGGGCCCAGCGCAGCGCCGAGGCCGCAGCGGAAGCGCCGGGAAGGGCTTGGTGTTTCCCGATCACCGCACGCCCGGAAACCGGGGAGCCAGCAGAGGGTTCCGCCGGAGGGGAAGGACGGCTCGCGAGCTAGACCCGAGCGCCCCACAGTGGAGCCGCGAAGCTATTATAAGTGGCTCCGAGGTGTTTTGTGGCCGAGGCCGCCCCCTCCAGGCCGGAGCGGGATTGCGCAGAAGGAGCAGCACCCCTCCTGAGGGCTGTGCTGTTTGATAAGCTGTGACCCCCCCATCGCTGTTAGAGGATTATCCCTGTTCTGTCACTGTGTGATCCAAGACAGCCTTTGGGAGCGTGAGCGGGAGGTGATCGACCAAGGGACTTGTGTGCCTACATGCATAACCCATGGACAGAGGCAATAAATAGGGTGGTAAAGGCCTGGGGGTTGGGGCCAGGGGCGGGCTAGAGGGGTTAATAGGGGGAAGAGGGGAATATATATATATTTTTATTTATTTATTTTTTACAGAGAGGAAGAGAGAGTGACAGAAAGAAACATCGATGAGAGAGAAACATCGATCAGCTGCCTCCTGCACACCCCCTCCTGGGGATATGCCTGCAACCAAGGTACATGCCCTTGGCCTGAATCAAACCTGGGACTTTCTAGTCTGCAGACCGATGCTCTGTCTACTGAGAAAAACCGGTTTTGGCAGAAATATTAAAAAAATAATAATAATAAAGATTTTTTAAAAGACAAAAAACGGCCTTTTGAAATTTTATTTTTACTTTATAAACAATTTTCTTTAATTTTGTATATTATTATAGATATTTCCTGCATGGTGTATCTCCTCAGCCATTGTCCACAGGACTCTGAAAAGCTGTGGGATAAGCAGGTCAGAGTCAAGGCTGGCTTTCTCTCCAACGCTGTGGAAGGGACAGTACATCAGGGGCAGAGCCTGGGGAAGCTGACCTCCATGGGGTATCCATGCTGGACAGCCTGTTTATTCTCTAAAGCAGAGCTAACTAGGACCTGGTAAATGCTCGGTTATATTACCTTTATTTTCACCTCACAACCCCACTTGCTTGATCACTGAGGCAGCCAACCATTGAAATCTCAGTTGCCCCTTTCCCTCCCCCCCCCCCCCCACACACACACACTAAATCAGAAAACCAATTATGTTAGTTTATGGTCCAGTTAACCCTAGAAAGCCATCTCTGATCAACAACTCCTTTTGACTTTTGCCTTTGTAAACCCGGTCCTATGCCCTCCATTTTGGAATGTATTTTTGCTTTGCACTAAGAGCAAATCATTATCTGAATAAACTCTCTTTAATTTTTAAAAATTGATTTCAGAGAGGCAGGAAAAGGGAGAGAGGGAGAAATAGAAACATTAATGATGAGAGAATCATTGATTGGTTGCTTGCCTCTTGCATCCCCACCTGGGATCGAGCCTGCAACCTGGGCATGCTCCCTAACTACAAATCGAACCATGACCTCCTGGTTCATAGGTCAACACTCAGCCACTGAGCCATACTGGCCAGGCTAATTTGTTTTTTAATTATAGCCCCAGATGTTTGTTTACAGTGGATATTTATTTTATTTTCAATTTGTAACTATTTTGAGTAAAGTTGTTATGAACATTCTCAACCAAGTCTTCTGTGGACATGTTCTCCTTTCTGTTGGGTAAACACCTAGGAGCAGAATTTGGGGATCAAATGACAAGCATATGTTTAACTTAATAAGAAATTGTTAAACAGTTCTTCAACGTAGTGTTACCATTTTTACATTCTAATGCTACTAATGTGTGAGAGTTCCAATTGTTCCACATCATTTTCAACAACTGGTGTTGAAGCATCAATCTTATATAAAAACTGCAGTTTGAAATCTTAACCCTGCTGTTTGGCCTCTGTAAATGCTTGCTTGCTTAAATAATAAGGAAAATAAGATTACTCCCATTCCAGAGAGGCTGTGGACTATGCCCCAGACAGAGTTGTCAGTGCTGACACCAGGTTGGGTCTTGAGATATGGTCTCATGGCCCCTTCCCAGCACGTAGGCCTTCTTTCCCAGAAGGCCTGGAAGTCTCATTCCAAATTTGGGAGTCAAAAGAGCTAGGAAAATATAAATATAAAAGGTTTTCTCCGTGTGGGGGAGCCCAGAATTTGAAAGACACATGTGTCTCTGGCCCTTGTGCTTAATAAAATCTAACTCCCTTTCTCTAAGCATGGCTTGGTTTTTTCCTGGTCCTCTGTAACAGTGTCAATCTTTACACTTTAGCCTTTCTATTGGATGAACATTACCCTAGTGACTAATGATGTTGATATTATATTTTTAGATGTATACCTTATAAGCTATTTAGATACCTTTTGTGAAAAGCCTGTTCAAGTCTTTTGCTCACTATTATGCTAATCAGGTGGTTTCTTATGCTCTTTTTTTTATTTGTAGGAATCCTATATAATAAAAAGCTAATATGCAAATCAACTGAACAGTGGAATGACTGGTTGCTATGACATGCACTGACCACCTGGGGGCAGACTCTCAATGCAGGAGTTTCCCCCTGGTGGTCAGTGCCCTCCCACAGAGGGAGTGCCACTTAGCCAGAAGTTGGACTCTTGGCTGGGGAGTACAGCAGCATTGGTGGGAGCCTCTCCCACCTCTGCAGCAGTGCTAAGGATGTACAACTGATGACTTAGGCCTGCTTCCCCGAGGACTCCTGGGGACTGCGAGAGGGCACAGGCTGGGCTGAGGGACCCTCCCCCCTGCCCCAAGTGCATGAATTTCATGCACCTGTCCTCTAGTACTTATATATTGCCAACACAAGTATGTCTAAATCTAGGTTTTTCTTTGTTTCAGTTATTTTATTATTTTTTTTGTAGAGTTTTTATAAAAATTTATTTGAGTGAAACAGGATATACCTGGAAGCAAGATCTAAACAGAAATAAATGTTTCAGAGAGCCCTAACTGGTTTGGCTCAGTGTATAGAGCATCAGCTTGTGGACTGAAGGGTCCCGGGTTAATTCTGGTCAAGGGCACATGCCCAGTTGTGGGCTTGATCCCCAGTAGGGGGCAGGCAAGAGGCAGCATTCAATGATTCTCTCTCTTCATTGATGTATCAATTTCCCTCCTTCTCCCTTCTTCTCTGAAATCAATAAAAATATATTTTTTAAAAAATGCTTCAGATAGTAACAGTTGCAGTTTCTTTTATGCATTTGAAATTAAGGAGGAATCAGGATGAAGGGGGATAGTCAGGGGGAAAGGGGCACATCTGTAATACTTTTAACAATAAAAATAAATTTAAAAAAGAAAGAAATGAAGGAGGGAAGGTATGAAAGATTATCAGAAGGTAGGAGAAAGCAAGGCTGGGGAATCTGGTTACAGAATAGTTAAGGTTATGTGCTCTCTGGAGAGTGGTCACACTTTAGAAGGACAGGTCTGTATTGGTGGTCACATATTTTAGAAGTAAGGTCTGAAAAGAGGTATTTCCAAGGTGCACAGAAGCAAAGGTCAGGGCTTGCTTGAGCAAAGATAAGTGTCTAACTAAAGAAGTTATATGTCTGGGGCATTATTATCCACCATGACATGCCTAGTTAGGACTTCATGATCAGATCACCCCGTGAGCATTCTTTTCATAGAACCCCCTTTTTCATCCACAATATTCTGTACCATACACATCTTGTATTAGATATATGTATGGGGAATGCTTTCTGCCTGTCATTGCTTGCTTTTTCATTTCTTTAATGATACCTTTGATTAGTAGAAATTTTTCATTTTGATAAAGTACAATTTACTATTTAAAAATTTTTATGGTTATCATTTTAGGACCCTCTGAAAATGGTAGAATAAGTAGACATATTTGGAATGAATAAATGAATAAATATTGAAATTGTAAACAGAGCCATGGACAGATGGTATGATGGATGCTATGTTCTGAACCGATAAGAAGTTGTCTTATAAAATCATTGATAAAATGAAAATCTTGTTGGCCTGTGTGAACCAAAGGGTACCGGGTTCAATTCCAGTCAAGGGCATGGACCTCAGTTACAGGCTCCTACCCAACTCAGGCCCTGGTCAGTTCTCCTGCAGGAGACAACCAATTGATGTGTTTCTTTCACATGGATATTTCTCTCTGACTTTTCCTCTCTCTTCCATTCTCTCTATATAAAAAAAAAAAAAAAAAAAAAAAAAAAAAAAAAAAATCAATGGAAAAATATCCCCAGATGAGCATTTAAATAAATAAATACTGCTGAAATTGTAGATATATATATAAAAAATATATATAAAAAATATATATATTAAAAAAATTTTAAAAAATAAAAATAAAAAAAGGAAAGGGAAAAAAGTTACCTTTTAAGGTACCTGTTGTGGGTGATTTGTTTCCTCCAAATTCATATGTTGAATTCCTAATCCTCAGCACCCCAGAATGTGACTGTATTTGGAAATAGAGTCTTTAAAAAGGTCATTAACTGAAAATGAAGTCATTAGGGTGAACCCTAATTTAATATGGCTGGTGTATTTATGAGAAGAGAAGACTGTGACAGGTAGACAGAGACAACATGTGAAAACAAAATGGCCAGGTGCAGATCAAGCTTTGAGGCCTTGGAAGAAACCAAACTTTGATCCTGGACTTCTAGCCTCTAGAACTGTAAGAAAGTGAATTTGTGTAATTTAAGCCACCTTGTCTTGGATATCTTATTATGGCAACCTTAGAAAATCACTGTAAGTACCTGTCTGAATCTCCTTAGAAAAGTTTATTTCTGTCTCTGCCATTCCCCTGACACTTCATTAATATTAGGAGTATCGCCCAAGTCACATGATATTATGGTTTAAAATGCCTGTTTCTTCTACCAGACTAAAGCTGTTTAGAGTAGATACAGAAAGTGAACATTTAAAAATATATATATTTTTCTTTATTTCAGAGAGGAAGAGAAACATCAATAATGAGAGAGAGTCATTGCTTAGCTGCCTGCTGCACATCCCCTGCAGGAGATTCTCCCTACTGGGGATCCAGGCACAACTGAACCCAGGTCCCTTCAGTCCATAGGCCAATGCTCTATCCACC